TTATTGTAACGATGACAGTTTAGCTCTTAAGACCAACCCATTACAAATTTATATTTTATTTTTATTTATTTATTTTTTTAATATTTTTGTCAAGTGTATGCAACAAAAAAAAAATTTAAATTCCTGCATTAAGTCTTTCGACACTTTCAAACTTTTCGCCCAACACTTTAGATATTTTCCATTTTTAAATACAATTTAAGCGTTTATTAAAGATAGAGTGTGAGAGAGAGAGAAAGAGAGAGAGAGAGAGAGAGAGAGGAGACATTGTACATAGTGAAGAGGCCCTTAAAGTTGCCACTCTAAGTTGACTATTAACTTGGCTTACAATTTTCATTTTTCGTGGCCCACCTCAGTTTTAGACAACAACTATTTTAGCACTTCGCTGCAGTTGAAGCATAAAATTGATTTTTAATTGAAAATTGCTTGCATATTTTGTGGGTGCACCCCTGTTGTGGCCTTGTGTGTGTGTGTGTGTGTGTGTGTGTGTGTGTGTGTCTGTGCATGTCTTTCAACATGAGTCGAGTCCTGGCAAAATTGAAAACAGCATGCAGCTTAATAAACCCTACAGCTTCAATGGCATTGTCCACATTTTCGGACTGCAACTGAACATTCACCTGAGTCTCCATTAATGTAAAATCAAAGTTGACTATTTGAGCGCTCATCAAATGTTCAAAGACACAATGTCAAAAGACAAAATTCTATACATTTTTGTCACCATAATTGGAACTCCATACCTCCTTAGCTTTATTACGTGAATCAAATTTTGAGCTGAAAATGTTTGCTTTGTATACATTTTACGTATAATATAGAATGTATATCATATTAATGAGTTTACATAAACTATTGCCAAAAACTCAAGCAAATTTGTACAGCCCAAAAACCGAATACCGACGCTATTCAAAATTTATTTGAGAATTTCAAAAATAATAATAAAATAAGACAATTGCGCTGAAGCCAGCACAAACATATTTTAATTTAAGAAAATAAGTTACCAGACAATAAAAAATATTTGTGAAAACATTAATCAATCGTTAAGAGTAAGAGTTCAATAGTTTTGGACAAAAGTCTGTAATAGTCAGAAGGCTGCATCTCCGATCCCATAAAGTATATATATGCTTGAACAAAATCAACATCCGAGGCGATCTAGCCATGCAAATCTTTCCATCTGTATGAACGCGCGCATTTCAGATGCTATTTAATAATATAAAAACTTTTATCGATAAAATTTAATCGACTTTTTAAAGGGAAATTTTGCAATAAAACTAGAATATGTTTAAGGAATACAGCATTCTTACGGGTTTTCAGTGACGATGGTTTGGTTTTGAGAAGTTCGACTGTATTAATACTGCTGCTAGGCAGGACTTTATATATGCATATTGAAATGTAAAACCACGACAGACGACGAAACGGCGAAACAAATAGAAACAATATGCACAGCAATGCCAACAACAATAACCATAAAAGCTGCCAGAGGTGCAACAGAATCGTAGGCAAAGTTGTTTCGCAAATAAACGGAGGAAGAGGAGGGGTAGCAGAAGCATGAGCAGGAACAGGAGGGGCTGGAGCTGGAGCTGGAGCCGAATCGACGTAGCCAAAACCAACCTGCAAACATGTTGAACTAGGTCAGGCTCTTAACATTCCGTCCGTGTGAAATTCGCCGCAACAGCAGCAGCAGCAGCAGCAGTAGCAGCAGCTGTCGCCTTTTAACACCTCTTGGGTAGTCGGTAGCAGAGAGGAGGGCACACAGAGCATGCGCTTCGCCTTGTATAACTTTCAGCAAAATGGGGCCCCTGCGGCGAATTCGCCTCGGGGCAATTCGCTCTAGCGTGTTATCAGCAACACAATTGTTGTTGCTCTTGTTGTTGTTGTTGTTGTTCTGTGTACGATTGTTTTGTGCATTTTCCCTTTTTGAATATCAATTGCATTTTATTATAGTATGAGGCATTTATTGTTTTGTTTTGTTTTGTTTGTTCTTTTTTTTTTCAATTCGTTTCTTTATTTTTCTGCCAGCGGCAACATCGCGTGTCCGTAGGCCAAGCAGCAGATGTCACTTTCCACAACAACAACAGCAACAGCAGCAGCAACAACAACAACAACAGCAACAAGGACAACATTAACAGAAATTTTCTTGCACATTTGGCTTTTGTCGAGCCGTGTCGTGTGCTGACATTGCCAAAAACCACAGAAAAGCTCGTGCAGCACGGTCGTCACCCTGTCTCATGTCCCATGTCCCATGGTCTCCTGTCTCCTGTTACCAGTCATAAACAGCGTTGTTCCGTTCTTGCCTGCCTGCCTGCCTGCCTGGCTGCCTGCCTGGCTGCATGCTTTCTTTCTTTGTGGGCCATATGCATGTAATTATTTTTGCAAAAATATTTCAATGCAAATATTGCAGAGCCTCATTCTGCATCATGTGCATACTTTATGCACTTTTCCTTTTCGTTTGACAGCAAAATGTGTATGACCGAGTTATTTTATTCTATTTTTTCTTGTATTTCTTATTTTTTTTTTTGTTTTTTTGTTAAGCTGGTCGCAATTTATTTGTGACTGTTACAGTTATATTGCCGCAAATTAAATACAAAAATTTTAAATTATATTTGCCAAATGCGGCAACAATAAAACAACAAATTTATATATGCAAATTGATGTTGGCACTCGGCGGCCAAAAAAATGAGCAAACTTAATGGGCAACAAATTCGAATACGAATACGAATACGAGAAGTACAAAAGTGAATTTTCGCAGCTAAATATTTACTTTTCAAGAAGGAAAAAGCCTTAATACAGTTAGCCAAACTCCCATTCCAGGACCCTACCCCCAACACTCCATTCCCTCCACGTTTTTCCCTACTGAATGTTAAATGCAATGGGCTGAGAATTCGCTCAAGCAAACGATAATTATCAGACACATACAGACGTTGCTGGCAACACACATTCTCTCACTTTTAAATATTTCAAAATATATTGATGCCTAGTTGTACCCTGTATATTTTGTATATTCAATCATTTTATAGCCAAATTCATTTTCAGTTTATTCTGTTAACCAGATTTATTCTCTGAGCTGCAATATAATATTGTTTAAGAAAACTTTGCTTGGATTCGAAAAACATAAACAATGAATTGACTTCATAATTAACTGCAGCTAAGGAACAGAACAATTGTCCTTGATTTTAGTGGGATTAAGAAATAAGATGTGCTTGGGCATCCTTGACTTCCATGCCAGGATACTCTCTAGTCAAGCCTTCGCTGCTGTTTCATTTTCCAATTTTGAAGGCAAAAGCTAAGAAGCTGGTAAGCTCGACAGCCACAGCCTGCGAAATCTTGCGCCCTGTGCAACTTTAGCGTTAACATTATTTTATTTAATTAGGTAAATGTATGCAAGCCCAGCAAACCCACATAAAATCCAATATATATATACACACATGTATGTATGTATGTATGTACATGGCCGGGAAGTAACACAACACATGTTGTTGTAATTACAACCGCGTTTAATAAAGCTGCCTGCCTACTTGCCATCTAATTGTAAATATGCCACATTCCCAGTGTATATGTGCTTGGGCAATGGAGGCAATGTGTATTAATTGTTGGCAGTAAAACTTTAAAGGCATTCATTTTGAAAAATTAACTACCTAGCCGAGGCACAAGTGTGCCTAAGTAGGCACATTTCAACAGCAATGTGAGATTTTTGTACATTTTTTTTTTAATTTTCTCTTTTTTTTACCATTTACGCTCTCCGCTAATCGTTAGAAATTCATTTTATTTTCATCAAAGACATTCAATTTTTTTGAATAATTGGTTCAATTTTCAAATTGAAACATTCTCAAACTTCTTCAATTTAATACCATATATTATACATTTGACTTATTTTGAGAATTTTGTATTTATTTAACTGGTTAATATAATTAGTTAGAGCTCTTAATTCCATCTAAAATATGAGATTGGATCTGTGTTTATAGCTTAAGCACTTAATAATTTTAATTAATTATAATTATATTTGTATTTATGATGAGATAGTAAAGACTATTTATTATTTAGTTTTAAAATTATATGATCTATCTAATCTTTTGGTAAATATTACTTAAGTTATCATCGATATTAAATACCTAACTGCTCCGTTGATTTTTATAAGTATATTGAATGTATTTTTTTCCAGAGGTCCGATTCGAATAACACAATAAAAAAAAAATGAATTGAAGTCATTCACAAACAATCAAATAGAAAATTTCTCATAAATCGACAATATCCTTCCGGATCCCTGCAAGTTATGTTGCAAACAAACAAAAAAAATTTGCAAAATTTTCATTACAGTTTCTTTTTAAATAAGTATTATAATATTTAGACGCATTTCCCTTCGCCCTGCAGTGAAATTCCAATTCCAATTTATGAAGTTGTCACTGATAACTATTACAAGTTCTGCAACGTTTTGTAATTTTAAACAAAAATATTTGAAATGTAATTAAAAAAAATTCCAACATCTTCGTCCAATATACATCGATTTTTAATGACAAACAGGTGTATTTTCTTTTGCTGAATTTTAAATAAATTTAAAAAAAAATTCCATTAAATTTCGTTTAGAAACCAGAGTCGAGATCTTAAATCCTTTGCTTTTATTTTCTGTTAAGGCTATTCGATAAAGTATTTTTGCCAGGCTTCATTCTTTATTATCGCTTTTCGTAATCCAATCATGTATATATGTCACATATGTGTATACATGTATGTGGGGGTTTTCTTATAACAGTTAATAATATTACGAATATAATGATAGTATAATGTAATTAACAGCTTAACAACATTATATTGTGTTCCACATCAGCGTCTTTATCATTCTTCTTTTGAGAAACAACTCTCCCAACCTACTCCGTCAAGGGCCGAACTGCACCTCTCCCGTCCTTACTTCGCTTGAGAAACATCTCCCTCAACCTCTTACACCAAATGCCGTACTGAGACTCCCTTCCTCATCGCACCCTGGCTCTTCGCCGATCGTCTTCTTTAAGCAATCTTCTTTAAGGATCAGTGGGAATGGTGCCTTCAGTTGGCGGACCAGTGGGAATGGTGCCTACAGTTGGCGGAGGAGCAGTGGGAATGGTGCCTACAGTTGGCGGAGGACCAGTGGAAATGGTGCCTTCAGTTGGCGGACCAGTGGGAATGGTGCCTTCAGTTGGCGGACCAGTGGGAATGGTGCCTACAGTTGGCGGACCAGTAGGAATAGTGCCTACAGTTGGCGGACCAGTGGGAATATTGCCTTCAGTTGGCGGACCAGTAGGAATAGTGCCTACAGTTGGCGGACCAGTGGGAATGGTGCCTTCAGTTGGCGGCCCAGTGGGAATGGTGCCTACAGTTGGCGGACCAGTGGGAATGGTGCCTACAGTTGGCGGACCAGTGGGAATGGTGCCTTCAGTTGGCGGACCAGTGGGAATGGTGCCTTCAGTTGGCGGACCAGTGGGAATGGTGCCTACAGTTGGCGGAGGACCAGTGGGAATGGTGCCTTCAGTTGGCGGACCAGTGGGAATGGTGCCTACAGTTGGCGGAGGATCAGTGGGAATGGTGCCTTCAGTTGGCGGACCAGTGGGAATGGTGCCTACAGTTGGCGGAGGACCAGTGGGAATGGTGCCTTCAGTTGGCGGACCAGTGGGAATGGTGCCTACAGTTGGCGGAGGACCAGTGGGAATGGTGCCTTCAGTTGGCGGACCAGTGGGAATGGTGCCTACAGTTGGCGGACCAGTGGGAATGGTTCCTTCAGTTGGCGGACCAGTGGGAATGGTGCCTACAGTTGGCGGACCAGTGGGAATGGTGCCTACAGTTGGCGGACCAGTGGGAATGGTGCCTACAGTTGGCGGACCAGTGGGAATAGTGCCTTCAGTTGGCGGAGGACCAGTGGGAATGGTGCCTTCAGTTGGCGGACCAGTGGGAAAGGTGCCTTCAGTTGGCGGAGCAGTGGGAATGGTGTCGACCGGAGGAGGAGTCTGTGGATGAAGCTCATCAGGTTTATTTGGACTAGGTGGTTCAATGTCCTTCGTATAGGCTTGCACTAGCCAACTGATCCGTGTCTGGACGCCGATGGCCAACAGCCCGACGACTACAATTAGAACTAAACGTGGGCAAATAAAATAAAAGAAATATCTTTGGTAATGTTGATAAAGTATCCTCCACTCGACATCATTCTGTCAGACTCTGACTTACCGGCTTTCATATTTGGCTGGTCGGGGACGTCTCGCTGGTAACTAACTGGTTGCAAACGGCCTGAAGCAAAGCCATTTATTGCTCTGAGCTCTTTACTCTATGTGTACTTTTTAAATATTTTGTAATCAGCTCACACGCTTAATTATTAATGCTTGTCAACTAGCTGGCTGTGGAAACTAAATTAAATTGAAATCAATATCGGAATTGAATTGCGCTCACTCTCAATATTTGGCAAATATCGTTACTGCTCCTACATAGATAACAGCCAGCGAAAAAATGTTGACTCGCGTAATATAATCGGATAAGAAGTGAACTAATGGGTGTAGCTTAGCTACCTGCCAATTATCTATATGTGCTCTGTTATGATAGAATGTTGTTTGAGGTAGAGACGATGTCATTCTCAATGGCATTTAACTTGCTTCAGTCACACACTAATAAATGCGATAACCGCTAAGAGGTTCTCGAAACAACGGAAACAATTGAGCAAAATTCCCAACCATCTTTCATTAAAAATTGAGCGAGGATCTTAAGTTATTTATGACATAATTCTATTGCCTTACAACTGAATGAATGAATAATGAATAGCGCAGAAAATACAATTATTTTCAATATATTGTGAATGGTAGAGTGTAGTCATCAATTATATTATATTATATATATTTTCCAACCATCTTTCATTAAAAATTGAGCGAGGATCTTGAGTGGCTATTTATGATATTTATATTATATATAAAATATAGTAATACTGGTAAGTGGTAGCTGCTAGTCGTGCATATTTTCAACTGCTGAATACTCAACAGGCCTTAAAATTGTTAAGTGACTCCGGCATTGGTCGACCTCAACCATATTATTATTAATAATAATAAATTGATAATAATCTGCTATCAGTTCCATATATATCCCGGTCCATATCTGCCAGTCGTAAATACTTTCAACTTATGTATTTATCCTGAGATAAAATAACAATTTTTAAAACAGAAAATTGCTCAAAGCTCAGTAATGTATTTTAGGATCCTAAAGAGTCGTATGTCAAGCAATATGATTCGATCAGGGCTATCAACTGACCAAAGGATATCAAAATTGTAGTTTCCAAACAGAGGATTTTGTGATTTCGCCCTGAAGTTAAATTTGACAAGTCTTTGGTTCCTTAGATGATCCCATAATCCATAGATGGAGTTCGTTGCGATACCAACGCACCATGTAAGGATTTGGCCATATTAGAGCCTTTTTGCCTAAAAGTATGCTGTGATTTTCTTCTGATTGGTGCGACTTAGCCAGGGCAACAACCTAAGCGTGTGTCTCTTCTGAATTTAGTCAGTGCAGCAACCAAATTGTTGTGTCCATTCTGCATTGATTGAAATCTAAATATTGACTTTGATAATACTTTTTGTTTATTAATATTTTTATTGATTTCGTGTTTTATACATTTTTTTCTTGCTTTTTGTTTTAGTGTTTAGTATATATATTTATTTATATATATATATATATGTATTCTCCCGCATATCCATTCCGTGATACAGTTCTCCCCACAAATACAATATGTGTTTTTTGCTTGTAAATATGATATACAATAAAAATGTCTATACAATTAAGGATACAAAAGTGGTTAAATTTAAGCTTAAGCTATAAATTATGTCTTCCAGTAATTAAGAGCAAAAGTGTTTGTTTACAGATAGATAGGTAGATTTAAAGTACAAATCATATTAGGAGTAATAGAGATAGATATTAGCATAGTATATATATAGTACAATTTGAAATCACTTTGAACTTAGACACTAAGCAGCGAAAGCAGGTAAAAACAAATAACCAAAATATTCAGCATAAAACTCAATAAACTCAAATTGAAAATCATCAACGTTGTTGCAACCAAAAACACAACACAAAATCGCTAAGCTTTTTAAATGTCACTCACTCTCGAGTAAAACAATGAAGGCATTATGTAATTTGTATCTTCCAATTTCTATCAATTATATCAAGCAAAATCAACCAAAATATCAATCAATCGCAATCGCAGTCGCGGCCTAAACCATTACCCAATCATATTTTTGAGCTTTACACGCGTATGTATGTAGTTCACAAAAATGTATTATTCTGGGTGTAATTGGTATATACGTACATAATATATGTATATTTTGTATAAATTTGTGTTTCTTTTTCTTTAGCTTGATTTATGTGTAATTTTTTTTGTATTAGCCATATATGACCTTGTCGGTATCCTTGATTAGCTAATGGAAATAACGTTTAAGTATGCGTGTATATATACATCAAAATATTTGTTTTTAATTTGCAAACGCATATTGGCATTTATGTTTGATCTGGTTTTTCTTTTGTTTTTTTGTAAAGTTTGTAAAAAGAAATTTAGCTACCCTCCGCAACTTAAATCGAATCAAAAAATACTAGCACTTGCGGCTGACCACTGGCCTGTTTTTCATTTTTCGGTTTTTTTCTAATCTCTCTCCTTTGTTGTATGCCTCATCTTAATTGTGTTTTGTTTTTGTTTTCTGTTTTTCCCAACTGATCTGTCTCACACTGTGTTCGGTTGGTATCACTTTTGGTCAGCCATCTAAGCAGAAGAGCCGCGCGAAGCCTTAATCATTATTTTATACAATGTTTCATTGTTCTTTGTTTAATATGTTTGGAGTTTAATATGTTTTTGCTTTGTTTTCCGCATTATGCGCTCGCTGATTAATGCCAGTTGGGAATTCTTAACGCACTCGCGAAGTCGGTCTGCAAAAAGCAAAAAGTTAAAGATCAAAAGGGAATCCTTTATTAATGAATCACAACTAACTCACCTGGACGATGGGGCGGCACTGTGACGTTTGGGAGTATTCGGTGTCGTCGCCGCCGTCCCAGTTGCGGATCCCGCTCGGTTGGTCGGTGTGCGCGCCCGGCCAGCCGTCGGCGTCGCTGACGTCGATGTGGGCGTGCCGGCCAAACTATATCGCTTGGGCTGCACAATCCGACTGGGGGATCGAGTGCTGCTCTTGCCACTATTCGCTGCATCGTGGCCATTGTTGCTGACTCTGCAGATTTGTGGGGAGGAAAGATTAGCAGGCATGCTTGGTTTACTACATGGTTTAGGGACAGTCTTGGTTGTGGTGCTCGGACTAGGCTTCGGACTTCTGTCATTAAGTCATGCAAAATCATACAAAAAAAAAAAAGAACAACAATTGTTGTGCCAAAAAAAGAAAACAAAAATTTAGCAAAAGAAAATTCAAAAAAAAAAAAATGTATAAACAATAAATTTTGAGTCGATTCGATTTTGATGTTGATCATGACTTACCTGCCGGCTGGATAACTGACTGGTCGTGGTATGCGTGACTTTAGCGCCGAGTTGGCGGACGTGCCCGAATTTGTGGATGTGGGCGTTGAGCCGCCACTCTTTGTCGCCTGCTCGTTGGCCAGCTCCTTGAGCATGCTCGAATCTTTGCTCATGAGCTCCCACTGGATTTGCAGTCGCTTGAAGCGATTACTCTCAATCTTGCGCTGCTCCTGCACATCGAGAGTTTCGCGTCGCTGCAGGGCCGCTATTGATGAAATGTTTGGTGAATTGGGTGGCGTTGAGAAACGCTTCGCTCGCTGCTCCGTTTCAGCGACAACAGCGGCCGCAGCTGCAGCTGCGGCAGCAGCATCATTGAAGGAGACCTTCTTCTGCTGGCTGAGCACTCGGCTCACTTCCTTCTTGAGGGCGGCGGCATCGTACAGCACCTGCTCACCGGAAGACTCGAGAATTGCGGCAATCTCGGCATAATGCTTGAGCTCCGAGCGTGGCAGCGAAGCCAAGAAATTCTCGGCACGCGCCCGTGCATCCAGATCCTTGCGTGACAGCCGCTGTTTGACTGGTGGTGGCGTTGGCGTTGCTTGCACCGCCTGCTCCTCCTCCTCAAAGACTTCGGACAGCTCATCCGTGGAGCCCAACGCATAATTGTATGGCGGCTCCTGCAGACTGCGTCGCTTCTCCAGCTTGGACAACTGTTGCGTCTGCTTGGCCTCGATCATCGAGTTGCGCTTCGCCTTGCGCAAAATGCTACGTGGCATGGGCTGTGGCCGACTGGCCGGGCTCGTCTCAACGCCCGAGTCCATGCGCTGCTGTTCATACTGATAGACATACATCTGTTTCAGGGGATCGGCGGCATCCGCCTCTGAGTCGGTCAGCAGCGTGGACGAGCCACGATAGCCGGAGCTGGGCGGTTGACTGGAGCCCGAACTGGATGCCTCATCCATTTGTGTCTGCTGCTGCTGTTGCTGTTGCAGCTGCAAGGTCTTGGCACAGTCGCAGACATGCGTTCGATTTCTGCGTATCGGTGGCGACATGCAGAAGAGTGGTCGCTGCGAAAGTTCCGCATCCAGCTGACCCGTAATCTGATGCACCTCCGGAATGTGTTGCAAGCGACGACGATACTCAGCCGGCAGCAGCGTTGCCAGCGATTGCCAGTCCGCGATATGCTTGAAATCCAGCGTCTTGAACAGCTCATGCTCGTTGGCACTCTGCGTGGCACGCTGCTGCTTCTTCAGGGTGCTGGCGCAGCCGGAGCCGGCACTCTCCAGCGTCATCTTATAGTTGAATGGTGTGAAGATGATGTCGGTGTTGCTGCTGCTGCCGCTGCTCGTCTTCACAAAACCCAAATCGGGCAGCGCATAATTTGGATAGATGACATAGATGGGCGCCTCGCACTGCTCGCCAAGATTATGCAACTTTGCGAGGAACGAAGGAGGCACACAACGATATCGTTCACTCAAACTGCTGCTGTGCGTTGTGCTCAGCGAACCGCAAGAGGTTTGCATCGAGCGTGTTATCATCTCCGAGCTGGAGGCATACGAGAGCGGACGTTGACGCTGCCCTTTGTCAACCATTGGCACCTGAGTCAGTTGCTCCGAATTGCTCGCATCCGACGATTGCTGACTTTGTGTCTGCGTCTGGGTCTGGGTCTGTGTGTGACTGTGGTTGTGTGTATTGGCAGCCAGCTGATAGAGTTGCGGATTACGCAGCGGCATACTGCGACGACGATGAGCTGGTGAGTTGGTCGCAGTTGCCGTTGCCGTCAACGAACCCGTCGAACTCGAACTGGCATTGGCATCATCATGGAATACGGCATCGCAACGGGAGCGTAACGAACGCTTTGGTGTCGTTGTTGCTGTTGTCGTCGTCTCCGCCTCGGCATCGTCGTCATCGATCTCATCGTCCTCATCGTGGCGACTTACCGCCGACCCTTTGCCAGAGTCATTCATGCTCTTCTTGCGCAAACGTTTCTCCAAGGAGCCACTGCTGCCACAACTGGACGATGGCCAGCAGCCCGATGAGACATCCATGCAGGTGAGCGCACCGGCTTGTGCCTCATCGGGGGCACAGCTGCTGCCGCTGCCGCTACCACTGCCACCGCTGCTGTTGCTCTTTTGTTTGATGAAAAGCTTGACTAGATTGAACGCAGCTGCCGGATTTGAGTTGGCCGACGAGGCAGACCCAGAGCCAGAGCCCGAGCCCGAGATGTGCTGAGCCGAACAAAAGTTTTGGCTAGCCTGCGTCGAGGACAGTCCACAGCCGCAACGATGCTTATGGCGATGTGAATGATTATGGTGATGATGAATATGATGCGACTGTTGCTGCTGTTGCTGTTGTGGAGTTGGTGTTGGCGTCGACGATGACTCCTTGTGCGGCTCATCTGTCTGCTGATGCTGCTGCTGATGCTGCTGTTGCAAGCGATCCGAAATCGAGACACTGATCGAGATGGGCATCTGGCACATGGGCAGCAAATTTCTAGAGCGTGACGAACACGATTCCATCGTTGATGTGCTGATCGCTTGCGAGACATTCAATGGTCCTGACTGATTCTGATTGCCCGTTTCGACGCCAGCCGTTTCTTGTGCTGCTGCAACACAACTCAACTCTTCTCTCAACTCTGCGCTCAGCTCACTTTGCAGATTGGGCAGACTGTTGCTCTTGCGGACGCTGCACTGCGGCAAATGACGTGTCAGGATAATGGTCTCCGTATTGTTGATGTTGATGTTGTTGTTGTTGTTGTTACCCGAAGGATACCTGCGTGCGGGCGATACAAACAGCAGCGAGCGTCTTTACAAGCCCAGCACACAATTATAGTCATCATTTGTTTTGCGGAAAATTGTCTACAGATTTATTGGTTTTTGACATATCTAAATCGCATTACGCTAGACGCCTGACCCCGACCCGAACCAACCCGTCTACCTGAAAGCTACCTGGAGGCGTTTTGCATAATACTTGGGTTTTTTTTTTATTTGGGTTTTGGTTCAAATTCCCATTCAAAAATGAGCGTCTGTCTTAGGCACTTTAACAGCTGCACAAAAATTTGATATGCTACATTTTTGGGCATCCTATTTGAATGGATCAATAATTCAGCAATCAATGAATAGATTTAGATGGCTATAGATTTATGATCTAGCTGTAGCTGTCACAAATTAAGCATATGGAATTGGCTAGCAAATATTTCTAATTGCAGAGTAAATTTTCCACAAGCGCAGCTTGCAACATATGTGTTTTTTCCGTTCAGTTTTCCCCCGCATGACTTTGGAAAAAGGAAAAGGTTATCTCTCGCAGTCAACTACGCCCACTGGACTGGGAGAAGAGCACTATTGCTTTTATGCATTTATGATGCCACCATCAGCATCATAAAAAGAAGAGTCGAGTTAATCTAGTGTTGAACATATTGCTGAGTGAGAACGCACTAGAAATTTCTCAACAGATCCACATTTTGCATTCGTTCAACATTGGAAACGTTAATTTTTGTATGTGGCACGCAAAATGAAACTAAATTGAACTCAATTGAAATGACCTCACACCGACCGGCCGACCGACCGATCGACCAACCGAAAGGGGCAAGAGTGGGTTGGTCACACATCCGCCATGCGCTGCTGCTCGACAGTCAAAAAGCCAAACTGCATATCTGTGTGTGTGTTGTGTGTGTGTGTGTATTTGGGTATTTGTACTTACCGCTGTAGTTGAGCTTTTGTCGTGTGGTTCTTGGGTGACTTGCACAGGAACTGAAATGATTGGGCCGAGCGTGACATGGATACCTCCAGGGCCTTGTTTCGCTTCACGATGTCCTCCAGATTGCTATGCAAGTTGATGCAGTTCTGTTTATTTCGCACCGCGATCTCACACGGCTCTGCTATGGACAACAAGAATATTTGCAAATTTAAACAAAGTACATCATCAAGGGGTACACTCAGCGAAATAATGCAGTACTCAATTCAAGTACAATCGGCATAGAATTGCTATCATTTTATTCTTACTTCTTTGGCGAGTTTAATTGGTTCTCAACTTCCAACAATTCCTGAATAAAGTCGAGTCAAAAATTGTAGCACACATTCTCAATTTATACAGATACTTTGCTGATTGCAACATTATTTCGCTGAGTGTACGAGTATTGCATTGCATTGCACTTACCATAGAAACTCTCATCCGAGTAGAGAACACTGCCCTCAAAAGCGATCGTATAATTGTCCTTGTTGCAGGTGAGTATTATATCGCCCTCATCCGGATAGGCATCCATGTCCAGTGAATCCACAGAGATGTGCGATTCCTTAACGGGTGAGAAGAGCAACTCCGATTTGCAGAAAGAGTTGTCGATCAGCTCATTGGTTGATGTTGTCGATGTCTGTGACATGTTGTTGTGTCCCATATGCTGTTGTTGTTGTTGCTGATTTTGCTGTTGCTGTTGTTGTTGTTGTTGCTGTTGCATGTTGGACATTATCATATTGTTACTGTGCTGCATTTGCAGCTGCAATTGTTGCTGTTGCTGCTGCAGCTGCTGTTGCTGCTGATACAGCAACGATTGTTGCAAGCGACTGTTGGCGCCACCGAGACTTTTACAGTAGGCCGGCAATTGTGACAGCAGCGAGTGAATGTCCTCCGCCCGAAAGCTTTCCATGTCGACCTCGGCGAGATTGGCATCCAGATTCTTGGCCAGATCATCATAATAGATCAGATCGCCCATTGCATTGTACGAAGCCGAAAGGGAGCTGAGCACGCTGCGTTGCATGCCACCGCAGCCATCCCGATAGCCATAGTCGAGAAACCACTGATAATCGGAATTGTCATGAGTAAAATCTTGCGACGAGGCCAGCGAACAGTTGAGATTGTTGACACCACCACCAATACTATTACCAACACCACCAACACCACCACCACCACCAGAAAGTATGCCACCTACCCCATGTTGCTGCTGTTGCTCATTGTTGCGTGCCGCTGCAGCACCCGGCGTTGTTGCATTGCTGTTGTAGTCCGATTCGGGTGTTGCTGCCACAGCCACTGCTGCTGCTGCTGTTGCCATATTTGTGGCAGCCATCTTATTATTGCTCTGCCGCAGTTGCAACAAAAAATTGTTATTGTCGGCCTCGTCGAGATTGTCGAAGCAACTGTTGTTGTCGTCGTCGTCGTAGTCGTCGTCGTCGGAGCAGAACAACAAACTATTGCTGACGTGAATAATGTTGCTCACCTGCTCATTAAGGATAATGCTACTGAACGCGCTATTATAACTATCCAAATTGCTCATGACAATGACAACGTTCTGTTTGAGGCTCACCTCCCTCACTTCATCTACATCATCAGCGGCGGCGCACTGATCGTCATTCGAGCCGATCGATTGCAACAACTGTTGCTGTTGCAAATATTGCAAGTGTTGCTGCTGCAACAGGCGATCGTTTAGATGCTGCTGTTGCTGCTGATAGCGTTTACCCAACGTGAACAGCGAATTGTTTGGACTGTTCAACGGTATCCGATATTGGTATTGTTGTTGCGCCGATTGTGGCACTGATCCACCTGGGCCGCTTACGCTGGCCAATGGTTTTGTGCTATATGCAGCCGTGTTGCCGTTGTATTGCTTACCCTCACCAACAACGGGCAATGATTGCCGATGTGCTGCTTCTGCTGCTGCTGCTGCTGTTGCTGTTGCTGCTGCTGCTAAGCGTGAATTGATCTGTTGCTGATGATGGATGTGGGGAGTTTGGGAGTTATGCGAATTGGGTTTAGTTGGGTTGGTAAATTGTGATGTTGATTCGTGATGATGATTCGTTTTGGGTTTCGTTTGTGGCGATGTGAAAAATAATGGTGTATGTTGTTCGAGATGGCTGTTGATGTTGTTGCTGATATTATTGTTGTTGCTGGCGTTGTTGGCGTTGCTTGTTGAGAAGTCTGTCATGCCACGTCGAAGTTTTGGTCCTGCAAATAGAGAGATAGATATTAAGATTGAGTGTCAATTAACTAATAATCAGTTGTAAAGCTGTCTCATTTCAATTAAATGCAATGCTGCCACTAAAAAGCATTAGCATGCCACACGTTCTAAAAACGCACAGTTGCCACAGACTCTCTTCTCCATGACACATGGCGATGCCTCAATATGTTTCAATTAGCTTTTATGTTGACAAGCAACCAACAAAGCCAGCCAGCCAGCCGTAATAAAGTTATAGGCATTATTTTTATACGCCTCCGAGAATTTTTACGACTCGCAGAGACCCGAATAGGGTCGGGCATCTTCATATGCTTTGACATCGGTACCGTGCCGTGCCACGGACTATCAGCCCATAAAAACTTCTCACTCGCTCGTTATACCTAGAGATATATCCATGCGGAGGGTACTAGACCAGTTTTTCTTGTACCACAATTTAGTTTGATTATGATTTCAAAACGAATTAGCCAAATAATCAGGGCAATATTGGCATACAAGCAACAAGTTTTATCTTTGTATAATCTCTCCAATTTTACCAATTGCATATCATACATATAAAGTAGCGCTGATCATCTGCAATACTTTCTTATATTGAAAATTTCGAGTCTCTGAATGAATTCATTCAGACTGAGAGAGTTGACTGAGTAAGAATAAATATACCTTATGAGTTCGGAGAATTGTGTATTTTTACAGACTTTAGGCTATAATAAGAGAGAATTGTTAATTGTTAAGCACGCCAAATAAACAATACGCTTTGCAGACGTCAGTTCAGCGACTGCCAGTTCAATTTTACTATACATTTTAAGAGGAATAATTAAGTTTTTATTTCATTTATCATAAAGTTTACTCTGCTCTGCAAGAGTATGTAGAAGATTGTTTTTTTCGACTTTTTGTCTTTTCTATTTTGACAGGACAGGCAACGTCGCGTTGCACATGCAACACGGAATACGGCGACTGGAAATGGATAGTAAAGGTTAAAGTGTTGGCAGGTTTTTTTTGTTGGTTGCGTTTTGTTTGCATGCTTTGCGCCAGTTACTACCAAGACATGAAGTAAGGAATGACGCAGTGAATCGGGTGAATCGCTTGCCATGTGCATTATGCTCGAGCCTGCTGGTCTATTTATTAAAATACATATTTAAAATTAGCTGGTTGTGTAAACAAACATTTTAGAGGAGGTCTCTCGATACAAAAACTTGACTGCGGCCATCATGTGCTGGAGGCAACCATTAAATGTTTTTTTTTTTTTTTTTTGTTAAAGATTCCACTCAGATTTCGTTCAATTGTTACCTAAGATTGAGGAAAGTTGCTTAAAAGTGTACAAGAAATAATATTGTCACAGCAAACAAGTTTGTGTTTAGCCTAAAGCCAAGTTAAACAACCAATAACCAAACAAGTTAATTAAAGTTAAAGACTTAAAAGACTAAGAGCTAAGAAAAACTGCGCACCTTGAGCCAAAACGTTTAGGCCAACAAAATTGTTGTTGTTGTAGTTGAATTTGTTGTTCATATTTATATTTTTGTTGCCGTTATTATTGTTGTTGTTGTTGAAGAAGTCATTTTCATTGTTGTTGGCAACATTTTGTTGTTGCTGTTGTTGTTGTTGTTGCATGCGCTGCTGCATTAAATACTGTTGATTGCATGTAATGGTGCAAGCTGTTGCGTTTTTTTGTGGCAGCAACACGCCCTGTTCTCGCAACTGCTGCTGCAGTCGACGCCGCTGCAATAGTTGCTGTTGCAGCAGCTGCAATTGTTGTTGCTGCATGTGTTGATAGTAGCGTATCTGTTGTAGTTGCTGTGGTCTCAAACCATTGTTGCTGTTATTACTGTTGTTGTTGTTGTTGTATTGTTGTTGCTCCCTTTGGGGCGCATAGTAGTTCTCCTTGGAGGAGCTGTTGCTGTCACAGCCGCTGCTGCTGTTGCTGCTGTTGCTGGTGCCGTGGCCAGTTGTGGCAGCAACATGTTGCCAGCAGCAGTTCGTGTTGCCGTTGGCATCAGTGTTGTTGCTGTTGTTGCTGTTGTTGTTGTTGTTGCGTGGGCATTCAACACCAGCTTGGGCACAGGCAGTGCAACGTTGCCGCCGTTGCACTTTGGAAATGTCTACGAATCGCATGATGAACGCTAGTAAAAGCAACAACATTGAATGCGGCACAAAGCGCGCTGCAACAAATGTTGTTGATGCAACACAATGTTGCCGCTGTTTTTATTTTCGGTAAGTTCACGATGTGTGCGTGATTAAGTTGGTGTGTTTTAAGACCAACGCAGTCACAGCTCTGTATTTCTTGATCTTTTCACTTGTTTGCCAAGTTCTTGGTTTGCCCTTTGGCAATTGTTATTTTTAGCTTTGATTTCTTAATTTTTTTGTTTTTGTTGATTTTTAAGGGTTCAACTCTCCATTGATTGGTGCCACATTTTTGTCAATCGTTTTGCTTTGCTTTGGTTTGCTTTTTAGTTTGCTATGCTTTACACGCTGCACTTTTCATTTTGATTTCTTCGCCGTACTATTTTCTATTTTTAAATATTGTTTTGCTTTATGCGTAAGTTTCTCTGTAAGACACATGTGTGTGTGTGTGAGTGTTGGTTGTTTTTGTGTACAGTCACAAAGTTTTATAAATACACACATACATACAAATATTTATTTATATTTTGTGTTCGGTTTGACTGCATATAAATGTTATTTATGAGTTTTCTGCAGCAGTCTTAAGAACAAAAAAAAAAAGCGCTGCATTAAAGTTTTTTTTTCTTTCTTTTTCGTAAAGGGAAAATGTATTTTGTGAAACTTTTTTGTTTCGATTTTTTTTTCGCGCAGCAATTAAACAACCCAAAATAAACTGCTGCAATAAATAATGCTGGTGCCCCACAGAGTTGCCCCGCCCCCTTTCGCAACTACAGCAATTTACAACATTTGCCACACAAAATAGTGGCAACTGAGACATGAACAACATATCCATTTTTGGGATGGGCGCAACAAGCCTACTTTTGTTGCATACATTTCGGACCACAAATGTGGTTGGCCCCAAAAGCAGTTGCGAAACGGAAATGGAAATGGAACTGTGTGCTGCACTTGTTTTCGCCTTGTTTTGTGGCATTTACAACCGCAACAGCAATAGCACCAGCAACAACAACTCAACTTCAGTTCCTGCGCCTTCTTAATTTAGGCAGCATTTAAAAGCTGACTGGTGACCAAATGGCAAACATTTCACAACAATAAATTGTCATGCCAAATTCAACAAAGCGCACTCGAAAAGTGTAGCAAACGAGGAAAGCATTTCTCTAAATATATATTAATAAATAGATCTGTATACTCAATGTCGTCCACGACGAGACGTGCCAACAAACAAAACAAAAACTGAGCCAGGTGTTTTTTGACATTTTTGATGAGTGACATAAGCAAGAGCTAGAAAACATATAATATCTTTTATCTAGCATTACCATAGAATAAGCATTAATTAGTGGGCTGACTGCAAAGTACACTATGCAACATATTTAAACCAATAATTATTTAAACAATTGAAAAACAATTGATATGCCAAAAAAAAAATTAAAATCATAAAATGAATATTTATAATTTATCATTTTTATTTGAGTCGGTCTTTGAGCTAAGCTAAAAATTTCTAGATATTTGGCTTGATGCTTGACAATAAAATATCCATAGATATTCAAAAGCCAGATTTCTTGAAATAATTACTCTTTTAAAGTAATTTACATATGCTAAGGTTTTATTCATCATCAATCATTTATTAATTTTTATTATTTATGTGTTGTTTAGTGTAATTTGCGTAATATTCAAAGAAAATTTCCAAGGCATTAACGCATTGTCTGCAACGGAAAAGCGTCTTGGACACAATAGACACGCCCAGTTTACTTTTGGGGGTGGGGCACGGGCTGTGGGTAGTGTGGTTAATTGCGAAGACACAAAGGAAAATGCTCGAGACACTCGAAAATGCCGTGCACCCACCACACTCAAATTCGCAAAAGACCCATTCGGATTCAGAAAAGAGAAAGTTTGCTAAACAGCAAGGAAAGCAATGTGACTACACTGAGCAAAAACCAAGTGGACAAATATGAACTGCGTGATTTTGGTCAGTGTAAACAGGAGCAGCGCAACCGCAAGAAAAAGAGCTTGCAACAAGGAGGCAACTACACGCACAAGCACAAAATGGCTGCCTCGAGGAACAAGTGTGAGTAGGTGAGGGGTTAAGCCAACTGGCAGCTTGCCAAGTGGCAGACAAAGTGGCACAACTCTTGACGGGTGGACGAGGGGGAGTTGACTGGTTGACTGTTCATAAGAAAAAAACGAAAAAATAATAGAAGAAGAAGGAAAACAACGCGAAGCATCTCTTGCACTCAATCGATAAACGAAGAAATAATCATAAACAGGCACACAGCCCAGGCCCAGAGTGAGTTCTCGGGCATGCCGCATGCATTCAATGTTGCCACTGCCACCACATTTGGCACCCATTCTGGAAATAGACAAAAGTACAGCTACCTCAAGGTATTTAGCTGCTGCTAGCAATTAAGAAAAAAAAAACTTTAATGCACACACACACATATGTGTGTGTGTGTATGTGTAGGGTTCAATCACATATGGACCAAAAAAAAACAAATAAAAAAGGAAAACATTTTATGTGTTGGCATTTTTTTTTTTGTGTTGTTCTCCAGCTGGCCAAAAAGTTGTAGATACTTATTGCTGCCGCTACTAAATGCTGGCAGCTGGCAGCCAGCTTCAGGGCATGTCGATATAGAGAGTAGAATATAAGTTTCTGGCCTGATGCATTTTAGTTCAACGCACTTGTTGGCCTACATTGCTGCAGTTGCCAGTGGCCGTTGTTGCAATTGTTGCAGCAAAATGTACACTACACCCCCCATGCCACACCAACCATTCCCTCTCTGCTTGTGCTTTACCTCTATAGAGGAGTTTAGATTGCCAAATGGCAAAACATAGAATTGAAGACAGCCAGCTACAAATGCATATAAAACTATCTGCATCTGTAGCTGTATCTATAGGTGTATCTGTAGCTGTATCTATATATGTATTTGTATCTGGTATTGTTGTTGCTTGAAATTCTATTCTATTTTCTAACCGATTGCAATTAAGCAATCAAGCATTCGCAATGCGGAACAAATCAGCTGCAAGCAATGTGTCGATTTTCTTTTTGCATTTGCATTCTAGATGCCCCATCGATAAAGACTAATCCAATTGCCACAAAGCGAAATGAAGAAAGAAAAAAAACAAAAGCTCGAATGCATTTTCGCGCACACATTTCTTAGTTGGATGGATGATCTCATTTTTCCAGGCTGCAGAAAACTCAGGCGATTTATATTATTTTTTTTTAATATGGCCAACGCACTAAGTGCGTGTGTATGTATGTATGTATATATGTGTAAGTATATATTTGTATTTATGTATGTACCGTACGAGAAATCATTTAAGTTTGTCAACCGGCGGCGACGATAGCAAAAACAGATAACGTTCAAAGCCCCTTTTGTTAATCACACACACACACACACTCACTGATGCACCCCGTTATATACAAATCTATCTGAGACATATGTATATGTATGTTTGTTATGTGTGTGTATTGTATGTAGTAGTATTAATGCGTCACTTTGGAATTTAACGCGCTTTTCTCTGCTGATGATGATGCTCGCCACTCCATTCAATTACGTTTAACTATTATCTGCGAAAGCGTATCTTTTGAAATGTTATCTAAAGATATACATATATACGCTAATATGTAATATATATAAATATATATATATGTATTATAAAAAAGAAAAATAATTGCTTTCACAACAGACACGAGACGCGGCGTACATTTTCACGGTTGCACAAGCCCAAGGAGACTGACTGAGAGAAAAACAAATATGAACGTGCCGAGCTGAGCCGAACCGAAACGAACCGAATGGAATGGAACGGCGAGATGCGTCGTCCGACGACAACAACAACAAGAACAGGCAAAGTTAGCGGATGACTATAAAGCGACGAACGACGAGCGACAACCAACGCGACCAACGAACGATGTTGTCGTTGTGTGGCCATCTCTCCCGGCATGTCTGTATGTGTTTGTGTTTGTGTGTGTGTGTCAATGTGCATGTGCAAATGACACGAATGAGAAGCGCACGAAGTTAGCCGAAAGAGTTCCAATGATTATACAATGTGCATCAACGAATTAACCCCACCAAATGCGGAACAAGTGAGAAAAAAAATATCTGCAACAGTCGAAATTGGGCGAATACACTCGAAATAAATATGTAAGTAAATATCTATATAATAAAATGTAGTTATTTAGATTTATGCCTGGGCTAATGGGGCAGACCATAAACCATTTGCTCGGCTCAAGTGGAGCACTCGAGGCAATGAAAACAAATGAAGCGCTCAGCCGAGATAAAAACGAACCCTCTTTTGCCACACTCAAAAAAGGACAACACACAGCACACGCACACATCCACATCGTGAGGATCGTGATTGGATAGTGCGCATGTGCGCGTGCCTCGACTCAATAATAAAAACATCTGTGTTGTAAGCGGAACGGATGCAAGGAGGGGAAGGGAAAGCACTACAAACAGCGGCTGCAAGTGCTCATTAATGATGGCAACATTACCCAATAAAACTATTAGAAATGCGCATAAATTTAAATGATATCCAATAAGGGCAGCACAATATTATGGCATACTTGAATACACATTACATTCTATATATCTATCTATCTATCATTGGGAAATACATAAATAAACACAGCAGCGCACCCCGCACACCCTTCAAAAACAATAATTACTTCCCTCTCTTAACAACACAATTCGTTAACGAAATAATATTTGAGCATTTATGAGCGCAGCGAAACAAGTAAGTGTATTTTTATATATACGAATACTGAGTATCTCAGACGTATCTCTATGCCTCACAGACATTTATCGCTGCACACAACATGAAATAAAAAATCCACAATTTTGCCCGCACAGCCTTCAATTCCAACAATTCTTATGTGAAACAAACAAGTAAGAATGATGTAGTCGAATGCCTACTCGACTACGATATACCCCGGAACCCAGCTGATAAATATATTCTAGTTTTACTGTATCTTATCAGAACTTGATGAAATTTATACTGTTTATATGTATTTATATGTATATATCTTTGCGAGAAGTGGGCAGCTATCCATAAACTGATATGAGAACTTATATACCAAATATTAAGTCTCTAGCTCTTATAGACTCTGAGATCCGCGTTCATGCAACTCGACTCTTTGCCCTGATCAAGAATATATATGTTACATGCCTTTGCACAAAACCATTCTACCCATTTTACCCACTTTTAATGGGTTGAGGTTATAAACATACACAAGAAATAATCAATTTAATCCACCCACTCTTCGCCAATAATCATTAGTCAGCAGCTGATAGAAACAACCAGGGCGATAAATAAAATTTGATATAGCATAAGCAAAGCGAGAGAACAAGCACAAAAAACTTTTATATTGAATCAAAAATAAGTCATAGTCATAACTGCTCACAACTTACCAAGCCAAAATGTTGATTTCATCAAATTCTCATTTTACATGTTTGTTTTTATTCTGAGTAGTTGTTTTTTAAAAGATCTGAGAGCGGATATGTAAGGTCATACTCACTCATAAATCTCAAATTCTATTATGTACGAGCTATAGAAAAAATAAACAGATGCCCGCACTCGACGATAATTGCAGAATCAGGAAAACTAGCGAGTAAAAACTGAGAGAGTGGAAGCAAATACAAATAATTCTAGCATTCTTTTAGGTGCCGTACAAAAAGACAAAAGACGAGTAAATGGAAATCGTGTAGCTGGCACACAAGTAGAACAATAAGAAATAATAATGGCTATAATATTATGACAATCTGAAATTGTTTGACATATTTCAAAAATGTTTAAATGTCAAACATGGCGTGCCGATTTATATAAATTTACCAACTTGGTGCCGGGCTTACTCATAATCGAATTTTGCTTCTTTTTTTGCCACTTCCTGTGGCATGACTCATCGCGTGCATTTCAAAGTCATCTATGGCAAATCCATTTTCGCCTCCTGCTCCCCAGCCCGTGCCACTGCTTTGCTGAATTGGCGACAACAAGCCAGCGAGAGGCAAATTAGCGAAGAACTTTTGAACTATGTTCGACCACCCTCGGCTCGTTGGCCTCCTACTTGCCCAGAGTTTTAATTGTATCGCACAAAAATAAATTGTTTATTTGTTGGAAGAAAAAAAAAAAAAGAAAGCGAAAAAAAGACAAAACTGTGCATCGCTCAGAGTCCCACTTGGCTTGCGGTGGGTCTTTAAATATTGCACTTTGCTCTTTCGCCAGGGCTACGATTGTGACTCCATCAGCATTTTTATACTCTAAATCCAATACAAATGTGTGAAATGGATATAATGATTTTGGCAGGCAGACGGAGGCATCTATGACCAGATAAAGTATACATATTCTTGACCAGGATTAACAGACGAGTCGATATAGCCATTTCCCCTTGTATATCAGCTCATTACTATAGCAGAAGTAAGAAAGTAAATCTGAAAAGCTTTTTAAATTTGGCTATAAAACATGAATATATTTAATAGTGGCGTTCAGGGTATCTCGTAGTCGTAGCTCACCCGAGTAATTGTTTCAATTAGTGTTCTCTTATCGAATACCTCAACTATATAGTCACCTTTGTCATATCGTGATGTAATTTGTCAGTCAACAGTAATTAAAGTCATGAAAAAATACTTATTTAACTTGACAAAGAAACTAAATATCCTAGAGTATTGAATAAAGGGTCGTATTTTAATGACTGACAATTTGAAATACAATTTTAAGATGAATATTTAATATTATAAATTTAAAAATTTAACAAAAACTCGTATCAAAGCATACTCAAAATGAACCGTCAGCAATAAAAACCGGTTTGTTTTTAGCAAGTTTCAATAGTTGGAAGTCATCGAGGCGAATTACTATCGATTCTAGATTTGAAATTTGAAGTGCTTCGAAAAATATTTAATGACATACTTAATTTTGTAGCTGATCGTAATTATGTCAGCGCACAAGAGTGATAAATCCCACGGATGGTGGATGACGACACCAACTAAAAGGGGGGTGCGGCAGGAGAGGGGTGATTTGCACCACCAGCGAGCGCCACATGTGGTAACAAGCTAATTAAAGACATGATGATCGATTCTTCCAGCATTGAGTTGAGACTCAGAAGAAACTCAACAGTTTGATTGATATGAAATTTACATTTGTTTGCTTCGAATTCTTGACAAATTCGATACGAACCAAATTCAATACTTGGCAGTTTGTCGGCCACAGCTGCCACGCCTCAATTGCAACATATTGATACTTAACCACCGATTTGTGCATGTGCATGTCAGAGATGATGATTTATCTGTCAGGGGCACAGACTGTGGCACATGTTGCAACTTAGTCTTGACATGCCACAGCAGACTTTCCACACACACACACACACACAACGAAAATGTGTCATATATCAACAACTAGTAGGCATATGGCATATTGACAAGCCAAATACGTCAAATGCTTCAGATACCAAAAAAAAATCCCATCATTCCATGGCATCCAGTGAAAATTGCGTAAAGTTTTTCCTCAGCCGTCAAACTGAGTGAAAGTCTGTGCGTAATAACCGGGCCCATAAAATGCGGAATAGTCTACACGATCCATATACAAGATGCACAACTCAAGCAGCTAATCAATTCAGTGCGGCGGCGTTGCGGGGACCAATGCAACGGCGAGGCAACTAAACGACTCAGTCAGTGCAACATGACATGACGACAAACAAGCTTGACGCAGCAACAAATGTGCGCAACTGCAACATCGATTGTCATTTAGCTACACACACGCACGCACACACTCACAAATACGCGTTTTTAAATACTTGCGTGTGCGTCGTAAACTAATTTGTATATAAATTGGGCAACATTTTCAAATGTCAGAGTGAAAAACGAATAGCAACAACAACTTCAGTTATTCAATCGACTTTCAACCGGTTGTTGGCCACCATCCTTAGTTTTCACCACGACTGGCACTCAAAACTCTAATGAATAGATGAAAGGCACCCGAAGGCGCTAAAAACAGCAATAAAGTCAACATTAATAATGAAAAATAAAAGAGCGGCGGCATATTGTTGTCATTTATGGCTAATTAAGATTTATCGAAAAGAAAACATAAACAATTCAATTAAATTGAATTCTTTTTAGCATAACGAGCTGCAAAACTCCACTCCATATCGAAGACAAAGAAAATAACCAATAAGCAACTGGGAAACGAAACAAGACATCTGCAACAATCTTGGCTGGGCAGTGGCACCAGGTCGAAGACAAGCCAAATTTCCCTCGCTAGAATCAGAAACGATTTAAGTAGTTATCAGGAGACTACTCAGTGGTCTCTTGACAGGACACTTTTGTTAAGCTAGCTAAAATTTATTCAGTAGAAACTGCAGATTTTGTGACAATGGCAGTAAATCCCCAAAACACATCGCAGCGGATTATCCCAGAGCCCAGTTGTTAACTTGACTTGACACTTAAATGTAAGCATGCATATTAAAGCATACAGAATATGCTTCCTTTTGCTGAGAATAATGAGAATGTGTTTCTAATCCGATCTTCATGAAATTTGTCCAGTTGATCAATAATATTTAAAGTATATTAAATATAAATTGGAAAGCCCTGATCTGCGATGTATACGAGAAATAATATTCCAAATTTGAAGTATATATTCTCTTATAGTCTATCCATATCTATATCGACTCGACTGACGATCCCGATAAAAACTAAATACATTATATTATTATTATTCAGTTTGTCACACTTATTGCACATTTTTAATGGCTTCAGCGTATAATAGTAATCCTATTGGCATTTGCAGCTGAATCAGATTTTTTTCTCACTAAAACATGTTCAACATGCACGAAGCCAGTTATTCTAAGTGAACCTTAAGACAAAGCTCATTAAGTAAACGTGCCCTAATCACAAGTCCAATAATTATTTAAAACTAGGCTTACGACATAGAGTTACTCATTCCAATATGTAAACAGAGACACAGTCAATACACTGCACTGTGCATAAGCGTGTATTGAAGCAATGATGTATTGCTGATAAGATAATGCATAATATGGTCATCTGATGTGGCTGCATTAGCTTGTATTAGAAATCGCTAAGTTGAACGTCAGTCGGTTTATAAATGCATAAATCGGCGTTATTCTCTTCAACAGTCGCGTGACAAAGTCGTGAGCCAAGCCACAATTGTGACTAAGCTTAGAAAAAGACTTATGCAGGCTTGAGCAACTGGTGAAGTTCAACGGACGGATGGATTGGCCCACCTGCTACGAGCAGTAGACAACAACAACACCTGCATAGATCTATGGGAGAATTTCTATTGAAATGCAAAGCACGTAAATTATCTGGCTATTAGCGGTATTGACTACAGCCAAGCTGACTGGCGGGGAAAATCAAGAGATTATATTTCATCATCGTTTGCTATTCGAATCGGTCGGCAAGCCCCCCATCAATTGATTGCAATACTGACCTAGTGCAAGCGTCTATATAGTATATACTATCTATTATTTATCATAGTTTACAGCCCACTTCTGGGTAGTGTTCGTCTACTTGTAGTAGCCAGGGTCAATGAGCACACACTATTTTATTTATCTGATTTATTATAATAATTTAAAAATGTTGGCTTAGTGTATAACATTTGTTTTAAATCGATAATGAGAATAGTGTAAGTTAGCAAAAACTTTCAACTTAGAACTTATAATGCAATGAAGCCAAATATTTCCAATATGATTAATTTTTTCGGCAAATCAAAGCCTGTTTTTATTTATGCAGCGCAGTCACGCGATTGATAGAATAGAATGTAACCGGTCTCCGAGGATTTGTGTATATCGGAGGTGAGGCCATAAAAATCCTCAATGGTTGAGGCCTCAATCTTATCGACCATGTCATCGTCGAACAGTAGCCAGAGTCCGTGACTCTTCACAATGCTGATGTAATGGCCACGATTCGGACCCGAACCGCAATGAATAACGACAGCCGTTAGATCATATAGCCGATCCGGATTGACGGCATCGTCCGAGGTGTTAAAGAGCCGCAACTCAAGCGGAAAGACGACCCGATGCGAGACCTTGATGTGACGATTGAATTGTTCCATATACTTGAAACGCTTCAAGTGCAGCGCCAGTATCATTGGTAGCTTCTTGACACGCATGCGTTTCTGTGCCTCCTGGTAGCTGCAACAGTTGTCGCACTTGAACTTGTTGTCCGAGCAGAGGGTCTCGGTATTGCTGAAACAGCGCAAACAGTGCGTTATCGATGTATTCTGATCGACGTCCACCTGTAGATCGAAAAAGTTCTCATCCTTGCTGCTGACCGTCTCACAGTTGAGGCAACGTGTCTCCGATGTGAGTATACCCTGAAAGATCTCATGCACCCACGTCGGCTCCGTATTGGCGCCATTTGCCTGCACTACCGGGGTAGTGGTTGCCGTAAGGCCACCATCCAGTACACTTGTGGTGGCAGCACCACTCAATGAACCCGTCGAATTGCTGTTGCAATTGCCATTGGTTGTTGTCGAATTCGAAGTCGAGGTCGTTGTCGAATTAGAGGAGTTCGAGTTTGAATTGGAGTTGGTCGATGACTTTGCGGTAGTGCTGGTGCCGATCGATGCAGCAGCAGGAGCGGCAGCAACGGTATTCCCATTAGTCGTCTTGCCCGTATTACCCGTATTGTTGCGTTCGGCCAGAATGATCTCGTTGATGTGATTGATCAGGAAATTGAGAAATTCGTGCGCATCCTGTTGCATATAGTTGTCAAACTCCTCCTTTTCTTTGCGCAAACGCGTTATAAACTTCTTGGGCGCAATCGAGCCAACTTTCTTCTTTTGCGTCGCAATGCTATAGAAGAGATCCGCCAGGCACGAAAGCAATGTCTCTTTGGGCCGCTTATTTTTCGCCTTGTATTCGAGGACCTTCTCGCGAAAGGGCTTACAGAAATAGAGGGCCTGTAGCACAGAGTTGCTATAGCAGGTATTCCCAAAATTGACAAGCCCAAAGTAATGCTCGTTGGGCGGAAACATTTCCGAGCCGATCTCCCGCTCCAGTTGGGAGACATTTGCGCCCATGTTGGTGGCTACGGGCGCTGCCGCGGCACAGCGGTACAGAAAAGCCCACACTGTGGATGCTTTTTGGTTAGGTGGTCGATTGTTGTGCGATTAATCTATATCATTCATATATATATATATATTTATTTTTTGGTTGTGGTGGATGAGTGTTCGGTTCGTTATCGGAAATTATTGCTTTTGTTTTTGCTTTGTTATTTGTTCTTTACTTTTTTTTGGGAGCCTTGGCTCGATATTTGTCTACTGAGATTGGTTAGAAGATGCGCAAAACACTTTTCTATATTTGTCTGAAAATAAATAATTTTGAAGAGGGGATACACGTGAGTTTCTTTCGCATAACACAAACGACAACAAAATTAAAAATATTTTAATGTCTAATTTGCTTTCATCATTTGACGACATTAAAAACTAAGCATAAAACTGATAAAGTATATTACAACTAAAATTGGCATACGATAACAAAAAAATACAAAAAATAATTCTGCAAATATATATATATATATCCCCTCTCCAAAAGTATTTTCAAACAAAGTGTTTCACATGCGCATATTTTCAAGAGCACTTTTTTTTACAAATTTTTTTAATTACATCAATCATTTTTCTGTTCGTGAAAATATACATTAATTTTTTATTCTTTTGTAGCAATTTTATAAATTTTTAAATGTAATAATAATATACGAAAAAAAAAAAACAAATATATGTGAAATATTTTGAAAATAAGTGTAGTTAAGATGGTAAATTTGTCGATGACACACACACACACAAATTGATTATGGAGAACTTTAATGTATCATACCATAAGACGTCATACAAAGATGTAGGTTTTTAACTAGAACTCGGCAAAAATTCACTTTTAATACATAAACTATATTTTAAAGACAACTGATAGATACTCTGCCCACTATAGTTGCAAATATTGATTAAATAATCGCTGTTCAGCTGGTAACAACTCATTTCAATCTTTACGATGGATTGTACAACTTTCAGTGAATTGATAAAATAAGATCTTCTATGACTAAGCGACTAGCTAATGCTTAAAATAGTATCAATCCTATGTCGTCAATTGGTTTGGTTGGGTGATTTTTTTTTTTAACCGCTAGACGTACGCTGGGAAAATTCCGAGCAAGTGCAATGCCTCTCTGACGAGTGCCAATTTCCATTCCAATTATTAATGGCAACGAGCCGTCGTGTGCCATATGAAATGCACCAGAGACGTCGCCAAACTATAAAAGCCATAGCTTGCGCTTCGTATAATGCTTAGAATCAATTGCAAACTAAAAGTGAAAACATCAAGTGGGATTTATCAGTGAACAAACTAAAAGCTACCTAAAGCGATAAATAAAATCGCAGTTTTATTTTAACTACTAAACTAAAGGAGAACCTTTAGGACTACCTTCAAGTAAGGAGAAGCAAACTCAACTCTGCATCGCTGTTGGGAATTTGACACAAAGCTGGAGAAACAATTAATAACGGTAAACAATACTGAATACCTGTATGCATCTCAACACAAGAAAACCGTGTCTGGCATTAAGCAGTACCAAGCGGAAACAGTGAATCATCTATCTGGAAAACTGCTTAAAATTCTCGCCTAATGCTTAAAGGATACAAAAACAAAGCTAGTATTTGATTTCAAGATTAGCATTAAGTATGAAAATAACCAAAACGCTGTAATATCAAATTAAGAATGTGCCAAAAACTTTAACATTTAAATATGATGGTTCTTTGCTAAGTAAACAAGCTGAGCAATAAAATAAATCACTAAAAAGAAACTAATTAAATATGTTTTATTAATCACATTAGCAAGTAAGATCTGATGTACTTCACCTGCCTGTTTTTAAATATTCAAAAAGTATTTTTAAAAAGTGATTTTTATTTTTGTTTTTTGGAAAGATATGCAAATAAAGGCAGAGATAAATAAATTATATATAGACGTTCGATCAAATGCCACATTGATTTAATTGGGTTAATTTTCAAAGGTATTATTATTGAATCATTAAATGAAATCATCCCTACAAATGTGTCGTGCTTATCTTAAGTAAATCAGCTATGAACTTTTTCCAAACACAACTACGCCCAATTAATGAACTGGTAACGAGTATTCACTCGTTTGCACTCCCGTGGGTAATTTTATGCATTGCCAACTAGGCAAAATGGCAAGTATAAAACTAGCTGCGCTCTCAGATAAATTCTCAGTCCACCGCCAAGCAAAATGCAACCAGTTGTAAGTAACGAGATAAGTTTTCAATTTCAATTGAGCAGGTGGTTCTAATAGATTTTCTACCACTTCAGATTCTCCTCACTTTTCTGTTGAGTTGGTCGTCCCAAGGGATACAGCCACTCGAGCAAATGCGTAACTCGTTGGTAAAGTCAAATACAACTGCAACTGCATTCGATAAACTTTGGATAAACAAATCTACACCGATTTCACAATATGAGAAGTATAATGAAACTTTGACGGTATTCAATGCAATTGCAACAAATTTAACCAAAGCGAATTTAACAACAACGTTGAACCAGACAACAATTTTGACCAAGATAATACCAACATCAAAGCCGCTAAATTCAAGTATTGAAGCCACAACAATTGGCAATGATCCTCGACCACTTGAAATCGGAACAAGATTAAGCGCCAAACTATTAAGAATACTCACACGCTAAACTTGCGTTTTGAATACTTCTGCTTTAGTAATAAGATAATCCGAATGTTATTTATGTATCTATATTTAAGCTGAATCTATCTCCAATATACATCATTTCGAATTTATTCGATATATGACAAACAAAGACTATGATTTTTTTTAGTCCTAGCTATATCGTCTCTTGTACTTTTGTACTACCACCGCATCAAATACAAAATGGAGCACAAAATGAGGCGAGGCCTCAACTCCCTATTCCCAATAAAATTTGATTTTTTTTTATATTTTATATTGGGTAGTTTTATACACTTTAATTTAATTAATTTCAATTGATAGATGACTGCAGTGTATCGATAAGTATCGATTTCCAATAGTAATAAATTAAAAGCAGGGCCTTCAAATTGATATGTTACATACATTAACATATTATTGATCAACTAGACAAAGTTTCATCAATCGGATCGGATAACAAACACCCAAGTTATAGTCGAAAATATATTATCGTATTGATCTCACTACTATCAGCAGAAGTAAGCATTAGCTATATGCATGTATATAATTGAATGTGGAACGCTTTATAATAAAACTAAATTATATTTAACAACTGGGTTCAGGGTATATCGCAGTTGAGCTCCCTTGACTACAGCATTCTTACTTTTTGTCTTACCTGTCGATTTGTATTTTGTTTTAGATGGCACATTTCGGATTTTTACAATCCAAACTATTTACTCATTCAGTAAATTCTTCCCCAAATTCAGAATAGAAAATTGCAATGCTACGCCAACACACTCTGAAATGGATATTTTCAAACACCTGCTGTGAATTCATAGATCTAGTTTAGAGTGTAATGGGTAATTTATTGAATCGCTAATTAAGCAAGCGGTTAGTATAAAACTAGCTGTGTTGTCGGCTAACTAAACAGTACTCCAAGCGAAATGCAACACGCTGTAAGTATCCAAAGGTGTTGTTCTCAATTGCTGAACAGGCAATAATAACAATATTTACGTCCACAGATTCTCATCACTATTCTGTTGAGTTGGATATCCCTCGGGACACAACAGCCCCATGATATGAAGCAATGGAACTCAACGCTGACCGGTATGGAATTTCAAAAGATAGCTTCAGTTGAGCAATCCACAACAAAAATACTTCCCAATACGAGTTCAAGTTCATCTGAAGTCACCACACCTAAACATAATCATAATCAAACTGTGAATGCGGCTAAATCAAAGCATCAATCAATTGGATCTAAACTAAGTTTGAGTGCCAAGCTATTAAAACTAGTGAGAATACTGGGCTAATGTCAATTTTAAATACCCGTTATAGTAATACAAACAAAAAACGATTACAAATTAATAGCTGCAATCACCCAAAAATAATCGGGTACATTCCCAGACAAAACGATGGGATTTTTCTTTTAAGAACAATTGCAAGTTGCAAATTGACGTTAATATAGTTATTTGTACTGTTTAGTTTTTCAATCGAATTGTGAAATGTTTTCGAAAAGTATCAGTGATTTTCCCAAGATCTGTGTAGACGTGGCCACACGTATAGTAATAAAAACTCGCAATTACTGTCAATCATTGCTGCCGGTCAATGCAATGCAATTATGAATCGAGCTCAATACCAGCTCAATACTGATTTGCGAATATAACTGGTTTTTTGCCTAGCCATTCATTCAATACAAACTAACGGATAGAATTGTTGTGATTCGGAACTTCTCAATTGCAACCGGTCCGACTAGTTGCGAGTGCAAATTATCTGAGAATTATTGTAGTAAATATCGCATTGTATATATCAGAGATAGATAGAAATTCTATGCACTCAGTTCAACTTGACAACTGCAACTGGAATAATCAGTGGGTAGAAAAAGACAGTGAGTCGTGGTGGATAAGTACGTATATTTGTAAAATGTTACATTGTGAAATGCAACAGATATCTGTACAGTTGCTGTACTTTCTACTTGTGATTTGTATTGCTTGTATTGAGCACAATCATGCCGCCACCAAGGTCCTCTATGAATTCCAGTAAGTAACAACTCTGCAATAACAATAATAACAGTGACCTATTGATAATTGAAGTATTCGCGAGGCAACAGGCGAACGCAATGAAACCGGAATGCTCAAAACATCATCAGCGAACAACAATACAAGAAGTGAACCCGAATTGGTGATTACGGGTAAACGCACCTCACACGTAATCCTGCAATCCGGCAATGATGATCCGAATTCGGGCAATAGTGTCTACTTGGAGACGGCCTACTATACGGCCGATGATAGTGGCTATCATGTCACGTACAATTTTAGCATAGAACCTCTCGAGCTGGACACGCGACTCGAGGGCAAAACACTTAAAATAATTGTTGGCTAACATTTCGACAACAAGTTTAACAATAATAATAATAAAGAAGCAGACATCTGACTGAATATGATTATATAATAAGTGTCTATTGCCAAAATTCAAAGTGCATCTAAAGTTCGTTGAATGATGCATTGTGTAAAATGGCCAAGACCAATCAACATATTTATACAAATACAATAAAATAGTGAATTTAGTTGCTTACCGTTTTGTAAAGTTTCCTCTTAGTGTTGAATACGGATTGGATCTCTCTCGGGGTAATCTTCAGAAAGGGAATTTAACCCTTGCTCAATGCTCGTCACGCAATTTTCTAGACAAACACTTTCCGCGGCAAATTGGGCACAAAAACAAACAGATCATAGTCTGCTTAAATGAATGAATGGTTGCCAGTAATTTAAAAGTGTAGCAGAAGAATGCCTTTGCCTGCAAAGATATATATAGAGGAAGCAAATAAAAGGGAATCTCATTCATTATTCATATTCAAATAGGCTTAAGTGAGGAAAAGATTACTAATTTTAATTACAATCTATCTATGCATGTATAAGATACTCTTAATACTATGCCCAACCTTGGCCACTGAGAAAGTAGTAAACAAGCTCATTAGTACACATGAGAACCGAGAGCGAATTAGAACTAGAATTAGAATATAAAAAAAAAATGGAAAATAAAAAACTCGTGCTACCTTGTGGGTCAAGTGCGCGAGAGCAAAAACATTGAGATGCTCTGAGAGATTGGGCATGTTCATGTGAGTATAATAGCAAATAGCAATTGGGTCACTCGGATGGAGAAGAGTACAACATTTTGCTGGTACAACGATTAATAAAGCTAATTAATTAATCAAGAGGCAAACTGAATGCCTGGCTGGCTGGCTGGCCCGACTGACGATAAGCCTCCGCCCAAGTCAAAAATCGACGTAACGCTCAACTTGAGTTTAGTTTTGCGACGACAACTAAACGGAACATATCACACTAAAGAGCAGCAAAAAAAAAAAAAATAAGAAATATATATATTTGCAATGGAATTGTGGATGTGCCTGTTGTTGGCAGGATGTGCGCTTTTATCACTTGGCGCGACACAGCCGCTTGCCATCAACTATACAACGGATATCCTGCGCCTGGCCAAGGCCGCCCACATTAAGGCATATCTCAGCGAGGACGAGCAAAAGCCGTGCGATAATTTCTACAACTATGTGTGTGGCAATTGGCCACGTTTGCATCCGGCACGTATCAAAAATAAAAAGACCAACTATCTGGAGGAGTTGCAGGAGCTGTTTGTGCGCAAAAGTGCCGATATGTTAAAGACAGCCAGACCCGGCGGCGATAGCAGTGCGGATCGTTTATTAAAGAGTTTCTTCACCTCGTGCTATAATCAGGCAAATGACACACAATCGGCGCTGAGAACGCTGTTGCAGGTGACCGATTTTCGGGGTGGTTGGCCCGAGATACGGGTACCTTCGTGGTATTACTACGAATACGATTGGCTGCAGGTTATCGCGACGATCAAGCGACGGTTGGGCATCGACATAATCATTGGTTTGGATGTGATTCTCGATTACAAGGAGGAGCATATGCATCGTCTGAAGATCGGTGCACCACAACTACCGCTGGGTCATCGTCGTCAATATTTGGATGCAAGTTACCATCTGACACGCCTGAGATATCAGCGCTCAATTGCCGAGAAACTGCAACGTTATTTTCCGGAGCAATCGCAACGTTGGTACGAAGAGGTCTCTGATCAGGTGGTGGATCTTGAACAGCAACTGGCCAAGGGGTTGCCACACAATGCCGCATTGACGCTGGAACAGACGACACGACAACGTACGGCGGCCGAGATGAAGGCCGCATATGGCAGTTATGTGGATGTGAGTCGCTATCTGCAAATGATTTTCAATGATACGATGTATGTGGACCTGTATGAGACGCCCGAGGATTATCTATCGAATTTGGTGGACGTGATACGTTTAACGCCCAAAATGCAATTGGCCAACTATACAATTTGGCGTACACTGGACACCCTGGATCAGGCACGTGTCCCCCAAAATGTCCAGCCGGGCATCTGGTGTGTGCAGATGGTACGTGACCATTTCCCCCAGCAACTGGAGAGTCTGTTCCATCGCAACTACAACAATATGCAGATGATCAACGATTTGCAGTCGACATGGTCGGATATTAAGCGTGTCTTTCGCGAGCAACTGCAGGCATCCACAGATCTCCATTGGATGACACTGGAGACGAGACAACGGGCCATCGCCAAACTGGACGCAATTGAGCTGCAATTCCGTAATCATGACGAGACACAGCTAATCCGGCAGACGCATGGATTGCGTTTGCATCCAGATCAATTCTATCCAAATTTGGCTAATGTGCTACAGTGGCGCACACAGCGCCAGCTGGCAAAGCTGGTCGAGGAACCCCAACTGATGGATCAAGTGTACAAGGTGCCACACTATGAACTGACCAACAACAAGATGCAAATCCCGATTACTTTTCTGCAGGCCCGTTTCTTCTGGGATCCCGCCTATCCGAATGCGATCAAGTATGGCACCCTCGGAGTTCTGCTCGCTCGCCAAATGCTGCATGGATTCGATGATGTGGGCAGACACTATGATCGACACGGTTATCGCAACAATTGGTGGGATCCCATCTCGGAGGGTTCGTATTCGCGTCGCTCCCAATGCTTCCAGGAGCAGTATGCGATTTTTGAGGATTTCCACGGCAAGCCGGTGCACGATAAAGGACTAATTAGCCGCATTGTCGCCGATAATGGTGCGCTCGATATCGCATATCGTGCCTATGTCGAATGGCTGAAGAACACCGATGAGACCTCGACTCTATATCAGCGAGAACAATTGCCATTACTCGACAATACGCACAATCAACTTTTCTACATGGCCTATGCGCAGTTGTATTGTTCCGATTATCCGGAATCTGTGGAGATGTTTGATGAGCTGCCGGAACAGATACGCGTAAATACGGCTCTCTCCAATTCGGAGCATTTTGTGAACGCGTTCAGCTGCTCCCGCAGCGACAAGCTCAACGCTCGCTTCAAGTGTGCACTTTATTAACAACATACATTATCTTTATATATATTTATATATATATACTTATATTCAAACAACAAGTATAATAAAGCTTTTGCACATGTCTGTTTTTTTGCCAAGACGAACCCCAAAAGAACTTGCTCTGCGAGTCAGTTTTAAATTAAAAAAAAGTTAAATTCTACTCTTGTAAGATGAGCCCCAAAAGAACTTCCTCTGTTAAACAATTGTAAATTAAACCAAAGAAAAATACTAACCCCACTTTTATACGCTGTCTAGTAAAACTGCACAAGTCTGTTTTTAATATAATCATTTCTCCTATTCCCATCTGCAAGACAAACCTCAACAGAACTTCCGCTGTCAGTTGTAAATTAAACCGACAAAAAAATTCTACATTTCTCGCTGACTTACGCTCTGCCTCTCTCATTCTCTCTCTCTCTCTCTGGCTCTCTCTCCCTCTCTCTGGCTCTCCCTCTCTCTCTCTCTCTGTCTTGCTCCCTCTCTTGGCGATAACCCGCCTTGAACTCATAATCAGACTTATCAGCAACACTTTAAGTTCGGGCTTGGAGATGTACAACATTCGTGGCCAGTTGTTGACAGAGATTTACACAATGATGTAGCAGCATGTTAGCCGGATTCAAGATTGGGGCACTGATCCTGTTGCTGCTGCTGGCAGGCATCATCAGCTGTGCGCTGAGCAACGAGGATCAATTTCAGCGTGTCTTTCAAACGGCGGACACAGTACGTCAGAGTAAGTCGCAAGCGATGCGACGCCAAATGAATGTGGATGCAGATCCGTGTAATGATTTCTATGAGTTTGCCTGCGGCAATTGGAACACGGAGGAGACGCCACAATCAAAGCGAGTACAACGCATAGATAACGATTTGCAGCGACTCCTGAAGGAGACGGCACAACGCAAGGATAGTGCGTTGGCGCGACAGGCCAAGGATTTCTATCAGTCCTGTGTGGCTGCACCGGCTCAGAGCAGCCAAAAGAGCCAACAACAGCAATTGTTTCTCAGCGAGTTCATTCAACAGAATGGCGGCTTTCCGGCCGTACCCGGCTCCAATTGGCGTGTCTATCGCCAGGACTATGAATGGCCGCGAATAACGGGCGTATTGCGACGCAATTATGCCATGGACATTCTGATTGGATTGCGGATTAGCTACAACTATGCCAGTGTGCAAGAGAACAGCATCTATCTGACCGAACCGAGCACTCTGCTGCCCAACGAGCTGTGCAGCAATCACAGTCTGCAACGCAATGATTCCGCCTTCCGCGCCGTCGAAGAACGGGTGGCGACACAGCTAAGGATCTGGCTGGCGATGGGCAATGTGGAGTCCACGCGTCTCGCCACAACCATAATTAGTTTCGAGCATGAGCTATGCGGTGGCATGCACGATTGGGTGCCATGGAATTCGGATGATCGGCTCTACAATGCGAATTATACGCGCAAGAATCTAAACGAATTGGGACAGATTTACGGTTTGGATCTGGAGGCTTATGTGAGCAGCAGCCTGGGTCAGTCTGTGTACTCGCCGGTGTATATGACTGCACCGGACTACTATCGTCAGCTGCAGCGCACCCTGCAGGCACACAATGCCAGCCAGATAGCCAACTATGTGATGTATCGAGCCGTAGCTGAACTCACCTTTCCCCTGGATGACAATAAATCGACAACACGTCGTTCATCCTATTGCCTGGGCAGGGTGAAGAGTCTTTTGCCAGCGGCATTGGGGGAACTGTTTGCAGGTCAGTTTGCCAGTGAAGAATCGCGAGAACAGCTCGTGCAACTCTTTGCCCAGTTAAAGGATGCACTGCATCGCAGTCTGAGCGCCGATTGGCTGGAAGATGCAAGTCGACGTACTGCTCAGGCCAAACTCAGCCAGCTGGAAATCGGTCTGGCGAACTACGACAAACCGAAACCGTTGAAAGTGCAATTGGAACACAACAATTACTGGCAGAATTTGCAACAGATTTTGGCTGAGGTGCAACAACAGCAGTGGCAACGTTTGGGTGAGAATTATCCAACGCCAGCGGATGCAGTCGAGGCGTATGAGACACGCCTACAATATCGTCCGGTGCAACGGCGTATCGATATGTCGTGGGCGTTGTTGCAGCCACCCGATTACGATGCACGTTACGGTCAGGCTGTAATGTATGCCACATTGGGCACACAACTGGCCGAACAGTTGGCAACGGCATTCGATGAGTTGCATTGGTCGGTGGGTTTCCTCGAGCGTGATACTTGGGAACCGTTGACAGCTTTACGATATCGCAATCGCAGTGAATGCTTTAGTAGCCACGTCGATAACTATTTGCAGCACAATCAGAGTGCCACAGAGATGCTCATCCGGAACAGTGCCGGCTTGAATGTGGCATTCAATGCGTATCTCACGTGGCTGAACTATCAGGCGCCAAACAATGATTTTATCCGGCTCACAAGAGAAACACTGCCCGGCCTCAACTATTCGAATACGGCGCTGTTCTTTGTGGCCTATGCCCAGCAGCACTGTCAGCCCAGGGAGCGGAGAGAGCGGCGGATCGGTGGGAGACATGATGATCTACTCAATCTCACGTATAGTCTGCGCCAGCGGCACAACTGGACAAGATTGCGGGTGAATGGACCGTTGAGCAATATGTTCGATTTTGCTCGCGAATTCCGCTGCCCAGCCGGTTCAGCCATGAATCCGGCAGTCAAGTGTTCGATTTACTAAGTGGGCAGTATGCAAATCCTATGATTCTAACAACAATATTATAATAAAATAATATAAGAAATCCACTTTGCTTGATTGAGCATCATTTTTGTGGGGTAAATGCCGAAAAGTCCAACTCTACATTTGGCAAATAATATTAATACTAATTAATAATTATTTGCAATGGAAAATGATTTCCTGTTTATTGGCCTCAAAAAAAAGCCAAGCAAAGTCTCAATAATAAATAATTTGTAAAAACAACATTTTTGTTTAACACGAATATTTTGGAAAAGAACTTTCGTTTTACAGAAATAGCAGTTTGAAATAAGGGTTTGAACTGAGTGAGAAAATGGAAGCATACAGAAAATTCTTACTTCTGCTGATAGTAATTAGATCAATATGAGAACACATTGTCGATTATAATTTGAGCATTTCTTATCTCAATTTTATCTTCATAAAATTTGTCCAGTTGATCAGTAATATGTATATTAAATATTGCGCAGAAGCATTGCAAATTTTCGGAATGCGATATATATCGACATTCGCAAAGCAGAGCAAGTTTCGATCGAATGGCAGGTATTTACATATATAATAAATTGTATCCGATCCGATCACCTACGACATTGACCTTTAGCAATCAAAAAGGATGTATACCAAGTCTTTATCAAGATTGCACCTAAGCGCATGAAAGACTATGCTGATCAAGAATATATATTATATTATAATATACATAAAGGCGTTGCAAACTTGAAAATAAAATTGAAATACCCGCTAAAAACAAGGCAATCTCAATATATAAAAAAAAACAGATAATTGAAGAGTGGCGAGGTCGATTTTGTTTACTTCTCTCCAGACGCGGGAGAGAGCAGGCGATAACCCACTGTGTGCACGGACGGATTGGATTACAGGCATTGAGCGAACACTTGACCCAATTCGCCCAAGTTCAGGAGCGAAAAAAAACCACAAATCGCTTATCAATAATGACAGCTCGAACGAAGCTCAGTCGAATTTTTAGCGCTGTGATGAGAACTACACGAATTTGTGTGTTGATATTGTGGCAAGTCTGGCTGCTTATGCAAAATGTGGCAATTGCGCGCTACAACACCGTGAATCGCATGCCACAAGGCGGTCACTTTCACAACAATCATGACGACAACCGCCATCCGCTTGAGAGTAACAAGGACCGGAGAACACGCCAAACGATGGCCAGAGATATTAACAAGTATATGAATCTGAGTGTCGATCCTTGTGTGGATTTCTACGAGTATGCGTGCGGCAATTGGAGCCGCTATCACAATCGACAGTTGCGCGAGGGCCAGCTGATAACGGCCCAGCGTCTGGTGGAGCTGGGCATTGAGGAGCAGTTGCAGGAGCTATTGACACTGCCGCTGCCACCGCAAAATCATCCAAACGAGTATAGTGCGACCAGTGCGGCAAATGTGCGCAAAGTGCGCACCTTCTACGACGCTTGCATTGCCATCGAGGCAAACGCAGCCGAGCGTCGCCAATTTCTCATGAAAATACTGCGAGACCATGGCGGCCTGAGGAATATTCCGAATTCGCATTGGAAGCCCAACTATCATTGGTTGCAGGTGTTGGCGTCGCTGCGTCGCAACTATGGCCTGGATATATTGATTGGCCTCGATGTGGATCTCAATTTGCAACAGTTGCGCGGCAACAGTGTGTATCTGGGTGAGCCCCAATTAACCATTATACCGGCAGAGCACTGTAACGCTCGGATCACGCGACAATCGAACGTGCGTGACGAGATCTATGAGGAGATCCAGGAACAGGTGGCGGACAACATGCGCAACTGGTTCGCCATGGAGAGCGGCGAGGCGGCTCGCTTTGCCGGTGACATTGTTCGCTTTGAGTTCGAGCTGTGCAAGAGGATGCGGGAGCAGGAAATAATTCTTGTGCCGCCGGCTGTTGACAGTTTCCAGCAGGAAATGTTGCCTGTGGGACGATCGCGCATTGGACAGGATCGATTGCGACAACAGAATGGCGGAGCAGCAACTGGTAGTTCACTCTATCCCCGTATGACGCTCATCGAGCTGACCAGCAAACTGGGCAATTCGTTGGACTTTAAGCTGTACGTGGAGAGCATTCTGGAGGATACGTATAGTGATTATGTCTATCTGCGCTCTCAGAGCTATCTGCAGCATTTGGTGCGCACAGCAAAGGCGAACAATCAAGTGACTATTTCGGGTTATATACTGTATCGAGCACTGCTCGAACTCGATCAGCCACCGGTGGTGGAGCAAGCTATCCGTCGTCCGCGTCAGTGCGTCCAAGTGTTGCAGCGTCTCTTTCCCCAGGTGCTTGGCGACATGTATCAGCGGCATGTGCATCGTGACGATGCCCAACAGGACATGGAACAGATATTCACCGATGTGGTGAAAGCGTTCGAGCAGCAACTTCACGTCGACTGGCTGGACGAGACCGATCGACGAACGGCACGAACACGTCTCTCCCAATATCACATCCAATGGCCCGACTATCAGGATGTCAGCCTCGCATCGTTGCAATTCCTCAAAACCGGCGGCTACTGGCAGCGTTTGGAGACAGCGTTGCATTTCAATGCACGCGAACAATTGAATAGTTTGCGTGGCAATGATTTTGGACGCACGGCAACCGGATCGGAAGCAGTGAATGCATTTGAGGTGAGAGCATCTCTCGTGCAACGTCAACATGCTGTGCTTGTTGGCTGGGGCCTGATGCAGGCACCCTACTACAGCTACACCTATCCGCGAGCGATGCGATATGCGTTGTTGGGCCAACGATTGGCCAGTGCCCTGTTGCAGGGCTTCGATGACGAGGGCTGGAATCGAGATGCACAGGCGACGACACCGTGGAATGACATAACAATGTCTGGCTATCGCAATGTCAGCGAATGCCAACGTGCCCAGTACAGTAATTACTTGTCGAATGACCCGGACGAGTTTCGCAATGCGACGCGTCTGCGAGAGATTATTGCCGATGGCAGTGCTCTAAATGTCGCCTTCAATGCCTACTTGAATTGGCTGACCCTGATGGATCACAAGTCGAAGGCGCTCCTGTTGCGTGAAACTTTGCCCGGCCTGAATTTTAGCAATACACAGTTGTTCTTCATTTATTTTGCTCAGACCCGATGTTGGGCGAGGCGCGATGAGGAGCCGGCCTCGGAGGCATTGCCACTGATGCAACACACTCCACAACGCTGGGATGTCAACGGACCGCTGAGCAACTCGGACGAATTTGGAAGGGAATTCAACTGTGCCCTCGGCTCACCAATGAACAGCGGTAACAAGTGCTTAATCTACTAGCAATGTGCAACAAAACAACACATAAATGATAATGTAGACTTTAAGCAGATACAATTAGAAGGTCTAACAGGTCTTGGCAGGTGTAAATTATGAATTTGCTCTCAGGTTCAGAATAAGTGAAATGTTCTCAAGTCAAGCGCGAATATCGAATAAATATAATAATATTATACTATATTTTATTCCATTTTATTTATTGCCCTTGGGCTATTTCTCTATATATATTTCTTTTAATAATTAGAAAACCTTTTTTTTTATAGACATGCAAATAAAATATAACAAAAAAAAATATATACCTGAAAATCATAGTATGGCGATGTGCTTAAATCAGCACGATTTTTCTACAAGTGTGTGTAACAATTTAATCAATATTGGTCAAGATCAAACAGAGAATTTTCCAAGCTTCAATTGGTGCTGACAAAAATAAACAATACAAAACTGTTTATGGGCTGTGAATCCAGTCGTGCTCATAACATTTCCAACTATTTTAGCCAATTTTTTGGTGATTGGCCACACAGGGATAGAGTCCGACTCAATAAAAAGCGACAAGAACAAGAAATGACTATAAATAGGCTGGATTAATGGTATATCAGAGCGTCGTCAAATCGAATCGAAGCAGTTGAGCGTGGCAAGAGAGCTTTAGTTTCAACAACAAGCACTCGAGCACGCAGCGTATCGAGAGATGCAAAAATGAGAAAAAACAAGGGAAACAATATTGCCACATGTGCATATGCATAATAGCAACATATATATATATATGTATATCGATATATATTTATATATTTATACAGTACAAAGAGACTGCGTATGTAGGTCGTTGTTGGCCTTCAACTGTCAATCGATTACTGCAAAAGCAACTATATAAAAATCAAGAAGTACGCATTGCGTTTCTGACTCACCTATTTCCTATAACAGCAGTATTTTTAAGGCGAAGTAATGAATATTAAGTTGAATTCAATTTGAATGTCATCCGATTGTATGCCTGATGATAATGGTTTTAATTATAAGGCACACGTATTCTAATCGAAATAATATATAGATTCTATAAGCCAAAGTGTAGAAAGTGCAATCGATGTTTCAAAAATAAACTTGTGCCCCAGCCAGTTGACAGCCTAAGGCGATTTGATAAATCTACTACACACAAAATCCACCAATAAATCAACTATACCAAACAAAATAGCTGGAAAAACGAAGAAAAAAATACATATTCAAAAGGGAAACAGCAGCACTAAGCAAATGACCCAAATTTCTATCAAACTTGAAGTGGCAGCGAAACGACTCTTCGAATAAGAATCTCCCCCTGCACTTCATTCTAATGACGATCCCAGACTGGTTTCCCTCTGCTCTTGCTCTTTAAATATCGATGGGGTGTTTCGCTGCTTGGCTGACTTGGCACACTCAGAAAAAAGATCGCTCTGAATTTTAGAAAATATACCTAAAATGAAAATCATTAGGAAAACCAGAAATGTCCTCTAATTTTTACAAACAACTTCTAAAAATAAAAAAAAAATCGAAAATTTTAAGTTTTATTATTTATTTCTTGATAATAGAAAATATTTTTATTTTTATTATATTTGCAAAATGTTAACTCTCACAATTGGACATAATTTTTATAAAACTCAAAAAATTGTACCCTAAAATTAAGAGAAGAAAATCCATGTTTTTTTTTAAAGAAACAAGCGAACCTTTTAAAAATACATTTACTGAATATAAAGGTGAGTTACCATTGGTAAACAGAATGTCGATTTTCTAAAATTGAGGTTGATTATTTTGTCAGTGTATATTATATGCAATATAGATTATTAGATTTACACATTTTTGACCCCAAACATCTGGAATGTCTTACATTTGTTATAACAGCAGGGCGAACAGGTAAAAACACACAACTGTAAACAACCTAAAACTGAGCGTATAATTATAATTATTATTATTAATGTTATTATGGCAACCAACACATATGAGTGTATTTATTATGTGGGCGATGATGACAATTCTGACGGGTCTTTTATGGCGCGTAGATTCAGAAATAAATAAATGAAATTTTATTTCTGCATTCAATTATTTGTTGCTTGCTTACTGTGTACCAGTTAAAGTGTGCCCATATTTAGCAGCAACTTCAGCCAAAAACAGATTGTCACGGATATATCTATATATTTATGTACTATTTGCCATTACATATCATTATTTACAGTCACATTGACAAATATTATCTGCCATTGCCAAAAAAACATACAAATTTATTAGAGGTGTAAGTAATTCTGTGGTTAGTTTACAAGGAAATTGCTACTGAACCCCTAGAAAACAGCTGGCCGAAATAATGACCGAAGAGAGTAAGCGAGAGAGAACGAGAGAGCTCTCTCTTACACGAGAGCAAGAGAATGAAAGAGAGAGAGAGAGAGAGAGAGAGATAGAGGGGGAGAGAGAGCGCACGTACATATAATAATATAATGAGAAAAATCGATTTTTCAAAACAAACCCAACCTTTTTAGTGCATAAAAATGATTTTAAACTTCTTATGCTGATTATAATTCCAGTATGAAATGCACTTACATATATTAAAAGAGTAGATTATAACGCTGAACTGAAATAAATTCCGATATGATGAAGAAACACTTTGCCACGCACACTTGCCTTTTGTTAATTATAATTACACACGACTGTCAATCGATAAAGACTTCTCATGCGATAATTTATATATATACATATATTATTATATGTACACACATATATATAACTCCTTTGTTTAAAGCAATAATGAAATAATGTGCCACGGAAATTTCTTTGGCACTTGCCCTTAGATTACATTAGTTTTCAAAAGTGCACCAAAAGTGCTAGAAATGACAAACTCAACACGCTCTCTTTCTCTCTCTCTCTCTCTCTCTCTCTCTCTCGCTCTCGCTCACTCAATAAGTAAATGCGAGGGTGTGGGTGGGGGTCGATTCCGTGTGTGGTGAATTTCGTAGAAGGCGCGTTAAAAAACTGTATTCACTTATCGATTTGTCAATATGAGGAAAAAGAACAAATAAATAATATCTTGATTAATAGTTGAACATACACTTATTTCTTCTTTTTTTTAATATTTCTATACGTAAATTAAATAAACAAACGCACGAAAATCGACCGACAAGCAAAAACGAGCGACGAGCGTCGAGCAACCGTCGATGTGTGGCGCTGCTGTGTAACTCAACTCAACTCAACTCAACTCAAGACACTCTCTCTCGCTCCACACACACACACACTTCTCGTCTCTCTCTTATCTCTCGCTCTACCTCTCGCTCGCAACATAGGCAGCGACGTCGACAGATGCGTTTGCTTGCCACTTCCAGTCGCATAAGTTGTTTGACCAACATAAAAGCATAGAAATGCGCTCGACTAACGGAGCATTGACAGAGTGCGTGTGCGAGAGCGAGAGAGCACTACTTCTTAGTCACTGCACACAGTGTGTGGGAGAAGCGCGTGCTTGAAAAAAGATATTGAAATTGGAGCATTCCATGGATGGATGATGACACATCGACAGACAGACAGACTATCTGATAAGCACCGTTATAATAATTATTATTTTAAATACGTGCAGAAAATATAGAAAACTAATCTTGGGCAAATACTTTTCCATCTGATTAAATTTATTTGCAATGCATTTTTACTGAGTATGTAAAATTCCAAAATAATTCATAAATTTCACAGTGTAGTAGCAAATTTGACTTACAAGCAATTCAAAATACTAAATATATTTTCAATAAATAGATACTTTTATAAAATATTTAATTATTGCAATTCAAACATGTTCATTTCTCACATCATGATTTTAATTTTAATTACTCATTATCTGAGCTCGATCAAAAATACACCTGACGACAAATTTATCGCTCACCACGATGAGAAGGCATATCTCCAATGCGCAGACGCAAATCAGAAGAAGAAGAAACGCATAACTGCGATAAATTTTTTATGTTGGGGTGTTTCTTGCATAGAAATACATAAATACACACTTATATATATATTTAGTATTTATATTCATGCATATGCATAAAATGTGACACATCATTTCTTATTGTAGTTGAGGGCAGGAGCCTGGAATTGTGGGTTTGAGTCAATGGCCATTCCACAGGAATATGGCCGTTATGCCAGACTCAGACTACGCTCAGACTGCCTGTCTGCAGATAATAACGGCAATTAGGGAAGCAATCATTTCACATTTATATTTTGAATATGGCAACACTGGCAAAAAAAAAAACCAAAGAATTAAGAACTACCTTTGAAGTTTTTCTTAGCAAATGCAAATCACAATTTTTAGATATTTAGTGCTACTTTTTTATAAACAACTTTAAATGCGATTTTTGCTGAAGCGGTATTGAAAATGTTTTGGTTTCCTCATAGGGAATTGTTTATTCACAATTATAGGTGAATTGCGTTAACATTGCAATATATGTTTTAATTATAATTATATTTCGCATTTTTATTTATATAATTATTATTAGTATTGAAATCTTTGAATAGATGCAAAACTAATCAAAATCTCAACACTTAATGTCAATAATTAATTTTTTGGTCATAATAAATGAAAGTGCAAGCTTTTGAAATGCCTACAAATCAAATATCTCAATTTAGTCAGATAGGTCACGGAATTAAAACTAAAATGCATTTCCTTTTTTTAGTTAAGAAGCATAAAAAATGAAAGCAAAAGAAAAAAAAACGATAGTTTTGGGGAGAGTCTGATTGGAAAGATTTTCATAAGCTAGTGTGAGAAACGGAAGAAGGGATAAACAAAGAGAGAAGTGATAAAAACAAAATGCGCACAAGAAATCTTAGAGACAAGCGACAAAAATCGAAACAAAGCGGAACGGAAGCTGAGCTCAAAGCGGGAGCGAGTTAAATTAAATCACATCAAAGTGCGAGCGAGAGAGCAGCATATGTATTTTATAACTAATAATAAATGAGATAAAACACACACACAGAAACAATTGCACATGTGTGCGTTTGCACCTACAGGTTGATGGAATTTACCTCTTTCTTGCATTGAGTTGTGTGTTGGGCAATTATCTCAACAAACAACTGTGTCGACTGTTGCAGCTGCCAACGCCTTTGCCTCCCACTTGATGTTTTTTTTCTTTTTTGGCAAATTCTGCACTCCCTTTGCAGTTTTTCCAATTGGGGCGCGTTTCGTTTCAGCTTTCGTTGTTATTTTTCTTTTTCCTTTTGGGTGTTGCTTGCCTCCCGCTGTTCGATAATTTACTTTGATTGTATGTGTGAGTGTATATGTTTGCAGTAGTTATGTCAACTTTGATTGCTCTTTCAACTTTGATTCGCTTCACAATTTTGGTTTGTTGCAAAATACGTATGTATGTAAATTATGAACAATGGAATGAATAATCGCACACCCGCGCTTAATACGTTTGTACGTGTTTTCGATTTGGCCTGTGGGCCACACGCAGAATTAAGCGATTGCTAAATATAATAGCAAAAGTCGTTTGTCGTCCGAAATTTGGTGAATAAAATTAATAGTTTTACGCAAAAACTTTCGACGAAGTGTTGGTTTTTCTTTTCCTTTTAATTCGCACACACAGTGTGTACACACTGTTCGAGTGCTCAGCAGCAACTCTAGAGGATGAGCTGTTGCCAAAACAGTGCGACCAGAGTCCGAACACTCTCACAACAAAACCATTGATTTTGATCTACGTCTGCTTGCAGCTTCGCAAACGGTCCGCCACATTGCACAGCCGTTGAGTACACCCGAACGTCATGTTGTGCTTTCTGTGCTCAACTATCGATAACTTCCGATAACTAAAGCGGCCCATTGTTTACAACCAAAATGAACAACAATTTTGTATTACTTTTATTAACTATATTAATTATAAACTCAAGCTTGGCCAAGGAATCGACGCCGCAATGCAATGAAGATGGGGCGACAACATGTCTGGAATTGAACACAAATCTTAACGATAGTATGTAAAAATTAACAATTCTCTCAAAAAAACCAAATTAAATTTAATATTTGTAGAAATTACGCGCAGCATAAAAATAGCTGTAGACAGCTATGAGGCCTGCAGCAAGGATGCAAATGACGTCAATTGCACGTGCTATGCAGCGGGCATTAAACGCGATCTGGCGCCATACAAATCAATAGGTTTCAGCCGGCAAATGCTCGAAGATGCCGCCAAATACGGCACCCGCTACAAGATCTACGGTCAAAAACTGTTCCGCGAGGAGAATTGTTTCTTTCCCGCTCGTTGTCAGGGTATTGAGCACTTTCTGTTGGAACTGCTACCGCAGTTGCCGAACATGGATTTGGTGATCAACACCAGAGATTATCCGCAGCTGCACTCGAGTTGGTCGTCGAGTCGAATTGGGCCCGTCTTCTCCTTCTCCAAGACGTCCGAATATCGGGATATTATGTATCCAGCGTGGACATTTTGGGCAGGTGGTCCAGCGACCAAATTGCATCCAACGGGCATTGGACGTTGGGATCTGATGAGTGGCAAGCTCAAAGAGGTGACAACCAAAATACCGTGGCAGGAAAAGGAGCAGCTCGGTTTCTTTCGCGGCTCACGCACCTCCGACGAGCGGGATTCGTTGATTTTGTTGTCGCGCCAGCAGCCACAACTTGTGGAGGCGCAATACACCAAGAATCAGGCATGGAAATCACCAAAGGACACCCTGGATGCGCCGCCGGCAGAAGAGGTCTCCTTCGAGAATCACTGCAAATACAAATATTTATTTAATTTTCGTGGCGTCGCCGCCAGCTTTCGGCTGAAGCATTTGTTCCTCTGCAATTCGCTCGTCATCCATGTGGGCGAGGAGTGGCAGGAGTTCTTCTATCATCAGCTGAAGCCCTGGGTTCATTACGTGCCCCTCCACAGCTATCCCAGCCAGGCGGAGTACGTCCAGCTGCTCGACTACTTTAAAAATCACGATGTCCTCGCGCAGCAAATTGCTCAGCGTGGACATGATTTTATTGGGCAGCATCTGCGCTTCCAGGACATCAAATGCTATTGGCGCAAGTTGCTCAAACGCTATGCGAAACTCTTCAAATACGAGATTAAACCAGATCCTAGCCTGAAACGCATTGGCGGCGGCATCAGGAATGAATTATAGTACGCGATTATCCTTGAATATATCACAATTTTTGTTGTGGATTTTTATCATTTAGTAAATAATTTTTAGAAGTGCAAAAATAAGTTTAAAAATGTTATTCGGAGAGTACTAAATTTTGGTCATATATCTTCAATATATCAGAAATTTAACGTGGATTTTAACATTTAATATTTCCGCCCCCAAAAAAGTTATTCACTATTATTTATATTAATTTTTTGAGCTGTAGAATTTGTTTACTTTATTATGCATTAACTTTCCCCTTCTTGAGCGGGGGAAAAACAAAATCAGAAAAGTTATTCATCCTTGTAGAGGGTACTCAAACATATTTATTTATTTAAATATATGACAATTTTCACATAGATATTTTATTATTTATTTGCATTGTATTTAATATATCAATCAATATTGTTGTGCCATTATTATCATTTATAATGCAAGTCTTCCACAACATGCAGTCTGTACATGATGATCAGCATTACTAGCCGATTTTTTTAAGTGAATACAATTATATTGAATAAAGTTCAAACTAATTCGTTTATTGTAGTTATAATTTTGCTTATCGGAAATTAACAATACAAATACTGAGAAATAATCAAGGAACAACGCATTCGTTTGCCGTACATATATATGAATCGAATAAATGGCTTAAGTCTTTAAAATGAATGGATGCATAATGTGTGCGTGTGCCAGCCTTATATGTAAATGCGAAATATGGAGTTCCGGGAAATCTTCTTGTTGCACAGGGGGCACTTGTGTGTTGCGTGCTCGGCGGCTTGGATGCATATCTTGCAGAAGATGTGGCCGCAACGCGTGGACGATGGCTCCTTCTTCAGCACACTTTCCAAGCAAACAGGACACTTGTATGGCTCCTCGACGCTGGTGTTGCGCTTATCCACCTGTTGACGGCGACCGGAAGCTTCCGGTGTGCACAAATCAATGATGACATCGGGCACCAACGATCGGGCAGATCGCGGAGGCGGAGTATATACCTCACATAGATCAGTCAGATCAATCGTTGGACCTGTATATATATAAAATATACAAAATTAAAAATTCATCGAAGACATACAATATTTTTTATTGAAAATATATTTATATATATTTACTCACTGATAGTTTGAAAACGGTTGCGCGTAAAAGTGTTGAAATCGAGGCTTGAGTTGGAAGCATCATGCATAATGGAAGCCGTTGGCAATTCGCCACTGGAACGGCCGGCATAATCTGCCATGGTTGGGGTATTGAAGCTATCGCCCGAGCTTTCAGTGAGTCGCTGTGGCTATGTGAGCAATATTGGCATCACTTGGGGCACGGGCAATCGAAAAGCATTGCAAACTTACCGAAGTCGTAGAGTCCTCTATTGTTGATACATCCCAATAGCTTGAGTTGGAAGCATCATGCATAATGGAAGCCGTTGGCAATTCGCCACTGGAACTGCCGGCATAATCTGCCATGGTTGGGGTATTGAAGCTGTCGCCCGAGCTTTCAGTGAGTCGCTGTGGCTATGTGAGCAATATTGGCATTACTTGGGGGACGGTAATCGAAAAGCATTGCAAACTTACCGAAGTCGTAGAGTCTTCTATTATTGATACATCCCAATAGCTAGACATTTTGTTTTCTTTTATGGAAATTATTTTTACTGTTTAAAAAGCCATTGATAGCATAACTTTTTGAAACATTATAAACTTATCGCAAAGCATCTGTGCTCCGTTTATCAGTTATTAGTGTGCTACGATGAATGATATCAATGAACAGCTGTGTGCCGGCTAAAGTGTTGCAAAAGGCAAGCATATATCGATGGGCAGCCACACGTCACAACAAAACAATATTTTAGCTGGCCCGAAATAAAGCGAAAACTGGAAATGGACAAAGATAAATTTACACTGCAGTCGATACGACAGGATCTGATCGATAACAATCTGCAGGCCAAGGCCATAATACAGGTAACAAGAGCACAGGCAAAGTAAACAATATGCTTAACAGCATCTACTTCCAGGATATACTCAACAGTCGATCTTCGATCGCTGAACTGGAGGAACTAAATGAAGCCGGCAGAGCCAAATTGTCGGCGTTACGCAAGAATATCGAACGCTTGGACGACTGGGCACGCGACATGTCCGATCCAACGCTGGCCAACGAGGTGGACACGCATCGCGACCAGTTCTCCAAGACGCTGCAGGCATTCCGCAAGGCGAACGTGTCCACCATGCTGGAGATTGAGAAGGCGAATCGTGACGAACTGATGGCCATCACCGGCGAGAGTGATCTGAGACAGCGCCCAAATGCGGGCACGCGACATAATCGGGGCAGTCTGGTTTCCCAGGAAAACGATGTCACTGAGAAAATGTTGGCGATATCGCGCCATCTGTCGGAGACAACGCAAAAGAGTGCGGTCACACTGGAGAGCCTGCTTGCCTCCTCACAGAACGTGGAGGCGACCAACGATGAACTGCACAACACTGCCGGCAGCATCACTCAGTCAGGCAAACTCCTCAAGAAATACGGCAGACGCGAATGGACCGATAAAATGCTGCTTTTCTTTGCATTCTGCTTGTTTCTCGCTTGTGTCTTTTATATTGTGCAGAAGCGTTTGTTCTAAATGCTTACGACTATTGTAATTATTATTCTTCTATATGTGTAACGGGCATATGATGTCGGGAAATATGTGTAAAATGCTTTTCTAATCTAAGATTATGATTATTATATACTTAGGCACTTTTTAATTCAATTATTACACTTAGGCAACACAATTTCAATAAAAACAAGTCACTTAATCTAGTAAGGACATCGGGGAATATTGCCAGGATTTGAGAAGCCATTTGTGTTGACCATGCGGCAAATATCCTTATAGGATCGGTGATGCTGCTGCTGCTCTGGTCGGTCTCGGGATCTTTGAGGTTGTACGTAGTAACCCTGCTGTGATGCTGTTGGATAATAATACCCTCCTCTGGGTTCACTTTGAAAGAGCTGATCGAAAACACTTCTTCCTTCAATGGCAACACTCATCAGAAATAAACTAATTAACACAAATATAAATTGAATCTGCATCTCGGAACTTTTTTTTTTGATGCGGGAAATTAGAAGCTCACTGTTTGAATAAACGGAATTCGTATCTGTTATTCTACTTATGAGATTTTGGTAACCTTGGTCTGTAGTTGAAGGAAATTCAATATTAAAAACAACTGATAACAGAATTTATTCAAAAATTAAACTCTCACTCATTTAGACGTTTTGCAACATTGTGATTCAGTCGAGTGCACTTAAACAAATAGTTTAAAGTTAAAACGAGTTGCTTTTATGAAAGTGCTGAATATAATATAAATAATTTATAATAAACTATTATTATTATTTATTTATATTATTATTGTTTATTTAAAGTGCGCGTTTTGCAACACTGCAATGCCGGTGTGCAACAGCTGAGAGCTGACATTGTCACTGGAATTGTTTGTGTTTGGCTCACAAAAAATTGGCGGAAATTAGATAAATCAAACAATAAATACAATGAGTCGCAGCGAGCAGACTTTCGAGGATTTGAAGTCGTACTTTCGAAATCATAGCAAAGTACGCGAACAGCGGCCACATACCGCAAAGGTAAACCTAAAAAAACAAAAATTTTGGCTTGTTTTGTACATTTTTGGTCTTCTTTTTAGGTTCATTCGGTTTGCTGGAGCGCAAATGGTGGCCATTTGGCGTCTGGTTCGTTTGACCGGACCGTCGCCGTGTACGCCTTGGAGCGCGATCGTTTCGTCAAAAATAATGTATTCCGGGGACACACAGCCTCCGTGGATCAATTGTGCTGGCACAACACGCATCCGGATCAATTTGCCACCGCCAGCGGCGATAAAACGATGCGCATCTGGGATATACGAGTCGCCAAATGTGTTTCCGTTACAAATACCAAGGGAGAGAATATAAATATTGCCTGGTCACCGGATGGCAAAACGATTGCCGTGGGCAACAAGGAGGACTTAATCACATTCATCGATACGCGCACAAACAAAATCCGTGTGGAGGAACCGTTTAGCTTCGAAGTGAACGAGATCTCGTGGAACAATACCAACGATCTGTTCTTTCTGACCAATGGCCTGGGCTGCATTCATGTGTTGAACTATCCCAGCCTGGATCACCAATTAACGATTAAGGCACACACAGCCAATTGCATATGCATCGAATTCGGACTTACTGGTATTATAAATATATTTATATATATATATTTATTAGATGTGATTAAATTTTTCAGGTAAATACTTTGCGGCTGGTTCGGCGGATGCGCAGGTTTCGCTGTGGGATGCCAATGAGCTGTCGTGTCTGCGCATGATTAGTCGCTTGGATTGGCCGGTTCGGACGCTATCCTTTAGCCACGATGAGCGACTGATTGCGTCGGCTAGCGAGGATCTCTTTATTGACATTGCGTACACAGAGACCGGCGAGCGGGTGACCGATGTGCATGTTGACGCCGCCACCTTCACCGTTGCGTGGCATCCCAAACAGTATCTGCTCGCCTACGGCTGTGACGAGAAGGAGATCATCGGCGATAGACGACGCGAGGTGGGCAATGTCAAAATCTTTGGCTTTTCCGAACTGTCCAATTGAAATACATAAAGTAAAATAAGAATTTCTTTTTTTGATTTTAATCATCATTCATTCAATCAAATTCATCTCAAGCTAAATAATGTAAATGCTAAGTGAGCTAAGTGTAGCTTAAATAAAAATGTAACAATTGCATACAAAAAAACAGTTTGTCATGTGCAGGATTAAAGATTATAGACTATATAATATATACACATATCTATAGACTATAGATTATAGACTATATATAATATATATACATATCTATATGTCTTTAATATAACCCGGCATTTGTACAGAATATTCCTTTAATGATTTACGACAGCATTTTGAGTGGATTTCTGATTCGGTTCGATGGTTTATTTGAGATCGAAAATGCATAAATAATGCCCATTACTGAAACCCACTACGTAATTAAGATGTGGTCAATAATAAGCCAAAGCAATTTGCACACATTCCCACTTGGCTCGCATAATACCAATTATAAAGAATCACATGTCGACCACACCTCCTTTTAAGTACTTTCGATTGGGTGTGGTGTGTGTGCGTGTTAATTATGCTCATAAATACTGAAAATCCCTTTTGGCAAACGGCTCAGCGTCTGGCAATGTGAAGAATTTCATTGTTTTGGTAAATGAGTTAAGTTGGCTTACTGAAACAATGACACGCTGCATTCAGAGACAACGCTGCTCTCAATTAAAGCACAACAACGACAAATTTACTACTGCTCTGTGCTTTAAATGTATCAGAAAAATGTTAATTTCAAATTTAATTCTATTAACATTTACAGACAATCATTTTTGGCAAACAAATGGGAGAAATATATCAGAAGAAAGTATTTTTAGGTGAAATTTAATAAAAATATTAAATAATTGAATATTTATAATAATTGAGTATTCTCCAAAATATGTGCTTCGTAGTTTAATTTGCACTTGAAGCAAACTTTTGGTAGATTTGGCTCATATTCGATTTGCAATCAACACAAAAACACATTATTTAATTTTCCTCCATACGAAATCTCTCAGTGGAAATTACTTAAAATTCCAATTATTTTAAGCTGTTTTTGCAACGAGAATCAAACTGTTTCTAAGAACTTGTGTTCAAAGGCATATTTGTTTCAGTTTTCAATCATCAAAAATCTCAGTGTAGTAGTGAAGACGATTCAGCTTAAAACCGCGACATGCACAAAGGATTTAATTATTTTGCCCCTTAACGAGCAGCATTTTAGCTTTGTGTCTACTTAAAGCAAAGCACAAGAACATCTTCAATAAGATGCCAAACCATGCAAAACCAAATATAAAAAAAAACGCCCCAATTTGGCCAACAACAAAAGCTGCAACCGCAAGAGAACAAATGTTAACAGGATTCTCGTGTCCTTTTAATTAAAAAGCATTGCAATTTGCGAAATTTGAATTGCTCGAGTTTCAGTTTTGATTACTCTGGTTTCGCCTTGTTCTCTGCATAGATTCCTCATGTTAATTAATATTTCTGGCACACATAAAGTGAATATATATAAATATATATATACAAGGATGTATGTCGAACGTCTAAAAAATATCTATACGATACAGAGTAATTCGTGGTCGAACTGTCTACAGTTTCTCATTTTGACTCTTTAATAATTAATAATTTTTTAGTGTAAAAGCAAGCTATAAAAACTTATGTTAGAATATATAATAAAAACAATGATTATTGAATTTGATCTCTTTAGTTAAAATAAATTTTAACCTTTTTATTTATGTATAAATCATATTCAAAATATATTGGGATATTAAAAAATACTCTTAGCCTGGAAAAAACATAATTTAATTATTAAAAAAGAGGTCACAAAAAAGAATAAGGAAAAAAATGTATATCAAAAACTAAATAACTATGCTCATGCGGATCTTGATACGTCTTTTCAACATTTTAATTAAATAAACATTGTGTAAGTACAAAAGAACTTACAGAATATAGAAAAGTACTCATTATATCATTTCTTTTTCTTTCTTTTTATTTATTTATTTATTTTTTTTCAATTTAGAAGTTTATTTTTATGTGTTGCTGCATTGTATAAATTTATTTTCTAATAAAAAAAAGGCTGCCAAAAACATTTAAGTTTTCCATCCGATTGCTTTTACCAATTAAGTTTATTGCTTCAGGATATGACGATAAAAGAATCACACGCACACGCATTTAACATGGTAATTACAGGGTATAAGGATTTGTTATACAAATGCCACCGGATCTCAGTGTCAAGTTAAATTAATTCTTGGCTAAAATGGCAACGTTGCGCCTCCGAATCCGATATTCGAAACTCTTACAAATTGCACGACGGCAGTCGCCAGTTTTTATAGGCGGCTTCAATTCACTTTGTAAGCCATTCTACGGCAATAAAGACTCAAGTGAGTGCCTCTAATATAAAATTGAATTTAAATAAATGGAGTCGAGTCGAGTCGAATCGAGTCAAGTCGAGGCGGCCGTAAAAGCCAAAAGCACGACCCGCCGCGGTGCACACGTTCCGAATCTGATTTGATTTGTTTGCAGTGGCGAGGTATTGAACCCTCTTCCACCACTCCACCTGCCCCTCCCCGCAAGCGATCCTTTGGCCATGCATGGGAAAAATTGCGCCCAGCACTTAGCCAACATTTAATATGCAACAATCTTTGGCAGCAGCAAAAAGGAAGGCGTATAATCAACATCATCAGCATCGACAGCAGCGGGAGTCAAACAGCCCAAGGCTCCTACACTGAGGAAAATTGCGTAGTCAACTTGATATGACGAGCACTTAGAACTTAATTTAAGTATGATTTCAGTGGTCAAAAATTTGCAGTAAAGAATCAATGAAAATTCCATAAATCAATCTCAAAAAGATTTGCAAAAATAAATATGAACTTATTTTAAGTATTTTGACACTAAAAATGTATTAAAGGTTTTTTGTGTTCAATTTATATACATTATTCAGGCGTATATTTGATTAATTTTAGTACGAAATTTTTATCACTGCGCTTTGTAATAAATCGCTGTGTAAAAATGTGATACGAAATATGTGAATTTAATTTATTCATGCCACGCGCGCGATGTTGCAAGTAGAGCGGTAGACATTGATTAAAAATGCAGGCAGACTGCACTGCGCCGATTCCTGCTGCCTTTTGCCTGCTGCACACAAGTGTATGGCTCTCGTTTATCTCAAAGCCAAAGTACTAAGCCAAATTATGCAAATGTTCTTGGCATGTGGCTGATTAGGTGCAGAAATTGTCTACAAATTGGCAGCTTGCCTGCTTACCATGTGGGATTGATTTAGGCAATTAACAACCAAGCAGCTAGCTAGCCAGGTGTTTTAGGTGTGTGTGTGTGTGTGTCTACTGTTTGTAATAGCATTTAAGCCCATTCTCATGCTAACAATGTTTTTAATGTTCTTAATGGCCAGAAGCTACATGGTGTCTCTGGCAAATCCATTCGTTCTCTACACATATCTGTGCCACCCACAGATGCTGCTGCTGCTGCTGCTGCTCCTGCAACTTTGCCATGTTTACTTGTCTTTGATTGTGTTATTTTTCAGAGTGTTTTTTAAAACGCTAAACAAGAGGCAACAACAACAACAACAACATCACAGGTGAGTCTATTTAAGACATAAGATTTAAGTGCACATCCGGTATGAACATGTGTAATTTGAGGCATAAATTTACTGTATTATTATTATTCCAGGTGCCTGTTTGTTTTCGTAAATAAATCACCATAATTGCTCATTAAGCTTGTTATAGAATTAATTAAAGTATCACTTTAATTACAAAAATGAAAGCAAAGATTACAAATTAGAGCTACTACTAATAATTATTACATATTTTTCGCTTATAAGAAATATATGCTTAAGGTGATTAAAAAAATAATTGAAACAGGACTTTAATTTAAATAAAAAATATCAGTTTACGTACAAGATATTATAGACCAGGTTTTTTCTATTTTTGATTATATAGTTTGAATATACATAAGAACTACTACTAAGAATTATTTTAGCTTTGTTTGATCAATAATTATATATCAATTAGAAGCCTCTGCCTTTATATACATACTCGTTCAGAGAATGAAATAATTACTACTAATAATTATTTAATCTTGATGAAAAACTTGAAGTGCTGCTGCAAAATAAATGTAAATTTGTTAAATGTATCAACTAGTTGTAATATTACTTTTTATCATCATTTGGATCAATCATTTAAAATGATTTATTGTCTTCATTATATTGTAATCAACACTCAGATATAATAAATTAGTGGGGAAACCCACACGTAACTCACAGAAGAAGACATCTCTGACCGCATACATATTCTCAATCAATATCCTGCATTAATTTAGTCCGGCTTATGTATCTATCTCCATCTCTCTTAAATGGCAACTAGCAATAAAGAGCAAATTTTTGCCAAAGCAGGAGCTTTGCTGGAGTCCTGGCTGGCGTCTGTATCCTGCGGCTTCTTAAAGCGCTTTCTAAGGACTTTATGAAAATGTAAGCTCTGTTTTTGTATCACACTGCTGTGTGTGTACGAATGTGTCTGTGTGTGTTTGTGTATATATATATGTGTGTATGTGTGTGTGTGGTTATGTTATCGCACACATCGCCTGATTATCGTGTGACAATGTGAACGCAAAATTAAATCAGCATTTTCGCCTTCTTCCTCAGCCAAGAATGCGAATTTGTGTGCGTGTCTGTCTGTCTGTCTGTCTGTGTGTGTGTCTCTCTCTGTCTATGAGTGTGCGTGTGTGTGTCTGTGTGTGTGTGTATGTGTGTGCCACATCTGTGAAGGTCCGCAGCTAAGCAGAAGTTTTGCTTCCAACTGTTAAATACATATCCTGCCAGCTCCCAACTGGTTGAGTCATGTCTTGCCCCATTCAGAATGTCCTTGCCACAGCAGGCACAAAATGTTCTTGTTAACATTTTCTTCTTCTTGCTGTTGCTTGTTGTTGAGATGGAGAGACTAAAGTGTGAATTTTCCTTATAGCATTGACTACAGGAAGTCTCTAGGGAATTTGTCGTACTTTCGGTGTGCGTATTGAATAACATATTATAACATTTATTTGAGTAGCTTTCGCCCCTGTAAGTTTTATAATTAGATTTCTAATTGGAGAGTTGTAGTTAGAAAAATGTGTATCTAAAATTAATATGTAAATGAGAAGTACGAACACAAACTATATATTTCAACATTTAACCTTTCCG